AAAAACAGTTTTGATGTACATAACTTCACAAAATGGATGGTTCAATATGCCGTAAGAATTCAGTCTAACCTCTCCTAAACGACGTATTGTGCTTTAAGTCATCATCTGCAATCCATGCAATTCCTAGGCAGAACATACAAAGAACCTGAGCAATTTTATCACTGTCAGACAATCAAGTGTCCAACCTGTTTCTTCCCTCACAGACTGCTGAATTATTGTTTTCAATTCAGCTATAACCAGGACAGTCAACTAGTCCTCATTTGCAAGAAATTATTCAAATTTGAAATATGCCTCTTACTGCATTTTCACAGTACTTTCTCTAAACCCACCCATTTCTCAACCAACCAAGAATACCACACCCACCACCCATATTAAATTCAATGCTTAATCCACCTCTTTCTAAAAGGCCAGTAAGGACATATAAATTGAGTTTGCCTGGAGGACTACAGATCTGACTATGTCAAGTAGCTGAACCCAGAGTAGAAAGCCTGGGAGGGATGTAGTGCCTCACTAATACGTCTAAGTACCTGAAGAAAAGGTACCAGGATATTTTCAGCAGTGGCCAGTGACAGGACCAGAGCCAAAGGGCTGAAACACAAAAGGCTTCCTTCGAACAATAGGGAACACTTTTGCGCCTTGAAGGCAACCAAGCACTGGCACAGCACAGGTTGCCCAGTGAGGTGACGGAGTCTCAATTGGAGATACTCAAAACACATTCAGAATAGTTCCTGGACATTGCTGCTAATCTGCACATCAAGAAACAGCAATGAAACCCAACAGGCTGAAGATATGTATCAGAAAGTGTTTTCTCAAACACTAAGGAAAAAAAAAACCTCTTTTACATACTCATTAACTTAACTTTACCAACCGCCTAAGTCTGTTCCAATCTTTTTCTAAAATGAATTTCAGACAGTTACCCCTTGACACTCAACCCATGTTCAAAACATTCAGAAATTCATTCAGTGACTAATAAAAGAAAGTGAAGCACAGGACCAGGAAGTGCAGTACTGTTCCCCCTCACCACACTTAGTCACCCGAAGGTAACATCACTAATTTAGGTCTCCCTTATGTCAGTCTCAAAAACAGATCACAAGTCAGTGATCTCCAGAATGTGTGACTGAAAGCTGAAATAAAAGCAGACTGTCCATGCTGTACATGGAGTAAATATAAACAAGAAAATAGGATACTGCACTGACAAAGCTTCCATGCCTTGGGGCACAACCCATCAAATGCATGGACCAGAGTTCCTTGAATACAATACATTATGTACAGCCCAACAGCAGTTCAAGGTTTGGCACCAGGATTTCTTTCAGATTCCTGTTGCTGAAACTGTGTGTAAAACAACATAAGATTTTGAAAATCAAAGAAGAGCAGAGAAAAAAATAAATCAGCAATAGCTTTCAAACTGGAAAAACATAGATAATTGCACAGTACAAAGCCAAGTGTTGAAGACAAAACAGCCATGATCCAGTTAACATTTAAAAACTAACTGGAACAGGAAGCAAAAAGGTTTCTGAAGCCATATGCTTCATTCCATATTACTATACATTCATCACCCTCAAACCACTAAAAAAAAACAAATGGAGTAGAAACAAATACCATGTTTTTCTTGCTCAAAAGCAATCTCAGTATTGTCTGTAAAGTATCATCCTACTTCCAGAAACACTACTTTAATTGTAAGAAACATAAATGAAATGTCCTAGATTAAACCAATGCCAGATACAATAAAAGTACATAAAGACTCCCTCTCTCTATAGCTAACAATTAAAAATGTTTAGGAATATAAACATGTTTAGTCACAATTAGTGAATTCAAATCCTACACCTTCAGTCACAGGGTGACCTAAAAGACTGAGGTAAGCATTGTCCCCCCAAAACAGTTTTTAAAGGTACTACCTCATGATTCAAATCTGGAGTTTAACAAAGTATTTGTGTTTTCTTCATTTAATTGTAGATTCATATACTGAATGACTCTGCAACACCAATTCCATTGAATCTGCATCTTCTATAGCAATAAACTGTATTTCCTGTATGATACAGCAGAAAAACAAAACCATAGAGTTCACCATAGGAGTATTACTTTAGGCAAACCTTAAGCCTCAAGAAAGATCAAAGCTCTCTCAACATGGGAAACGTTTCATTGTTTTTAATGCAAAATGCTACACTCAAGCAGGTTAAGGACTCCTCCAAGCTGCTGGAAGACTGATTTAAGAAGCCTGGGGAGAGAGGGGGGAAAAAAAGCTTGACAATTTTACCTTCAAAAGAAGCCACAATATTGTGCAGGTTCCACAAAGAAAGCTGGGCAAAAAGAAATAGAATTTCAATAGCATTGAGAATAGAAACATCTCCATCCAATGGAGTTGCACTAAGTTGTTCATGTAACCTATTTTAAAGGTTTTACAATCTAAAGAGAGCATAAGTAAAATACTATGCTCAGCAAAATACTTATGATGTAGTAAAAGCAGGCTGAGCAAGCCATGAGATCTTAGGCATCAGATCATACGACCTTTAAACTGACTGTCTTTAGTCCCTGTTTACTCCTTGAAGCATTGAGAAGTAATGGGGAGAGAAAGGCTGAGGGTATCACACCTGTGGAAGGAACAGCACTGTAGGAGCCCCAGGCGGATGGGGAGTTCCAACAGACTCCCAGTGCAGATGGCCAAAATCAAAGTGTGTTGTGGACTTTCATGTTAGGGCAAAACAGACAAACCCTTTGTACAGTTTTTGTAAAATATGAACCTGAAGTAATTTCAAAGGAGGCATTTCAGAACCTTTCATCCCAGCTCTCACTTTAATGAATGTAACCTGTTTAGGGAAGTTATATGAAAAACAGTGCAAGTCCAAACTAGGTCTTCTCTGAAAAGCACAGAGGACCCAATGGGCTACATGTAAACAGATTGTATGAGAAATAAACCTAAAATTCACCAAAAGCTCTAGCAGAATAACATTGCAGTGGATGTCAGTTGTATTGCCTCTAGCACCTTCCATTCAATAATTCTGAAGTCTACAAATACAATACAGTTTCTCTAATATTTATTTTACAAAAGGGACAAGTCACTTGACTTCTCCTTCAGCAAGCTCATACAAGGCTGTTGCAAAGCACTGAACATGGGTGTTCAGAGTCCTGCTCACGTGCTTCAACTAAATAGGAAACACAGGTAAATAAAAAGATTCATAACAGGTCTGAAGTTTTACTCCTAGTCTTTTATGAAGTACTTATGCTAAGTATCGGTACTAAATGTGACTGAAACTGCAAGTAAGCATTACTACTAATAGTAAGAATCTCGGTGATGATTATTAATAGAGCATTAACAGTATATGACACGTACCCCTTTTTAAGCACTGTTCACTAGTACGTTACTCTGCTATAACCAATATCAATAGGAGAACACCAGCAACAAACTATAAAGCATACCAAAAAATGGCATTTTTCAAGGAAATGGTCACCTAAAATATAAGTTCATGGAAGAAATACAGAGCATCAACAATCTACTTCTAGGTTCTAGAACTGCACTTCAAAAAAAAAATGGAAGTGCCAAACAAAAAAAAAAAATAAATTAAAAAACAGCTTCTGGTAACAGACAAGATTATTTTGTTGGTTTTCCCCCTAGCCTCCCTAGATCTTAGTCGTGAGTCTGTAGCTTCCATGTCCCCTCAGACGATCAAACCCTTCTGTAAGTTATGGCACTGGAAGCTTTATGGAGAATGGGCCAAAACAATTAAAACAGTCTAAATTTCAGAAATGTCACTTTTTTTTACTACAGATAGTTTTCAAAATCAACACACTGATAAAACTACAACTAGAACAAAGTAGAACAGAGCTTGTCCAATTCCCACTCCTGCCCACCTCCAAGATAACCAAGATTGTTGAGGTCATAAAAACAGAAGCCAGATTATTAGAGAACGTGATACAACCAAGGGAATTGCTAAAAGGGCCTGGTAAATATTAAAGAAGCAAAAGCCAGGAGGCTGAGTCGCTGCCATTTTTTGTGAAGGGCTCTGTTTCAACAGCAAGCACTGCTCCCCCTCCCTTCCCTTCCCTTCCCTCACATCCAGCTCCAATTTCTCTACTTGGAAAAAACCGGCTGCTCTCAGGCCAGGACAGCCCCTCCATTCCCCTTCCACAGCATTTCTTCACACCGCTCAGTAGCAAACCCCGAGTTTCTGCTCCACAAGACATCCTGTTCCTCTGAAGACAACCAGGGTGCTCTGCACATCCACTCCTGGTGCTAACACACAAGAGAGTAGATTCAAACCAGTCCACCCTGCTCCCAGGTGGCACCTAACAGCACTGCAGACATTTCTGCACAAGCTTTTAAATCTCTTCCACATCAGAGAGTTCAGGCCCTTGTCATTAGACTCAAACATGCACCAGGGTCCTTTCTACATCCAGCTTCTTGCACAGGAATGCCTACCAGTTCACTTCCCTGTTGCTGCAATTTTCTTCAGCAACAGGAGAAAACGAAGAAGAGCGTTTTGTTGTTTTTAAACAACAAAAGTCAGACCAAAGCAAAGCCCTGCCTTGACACCCAATTCCAAGCAATCACACAAAACAGAAGGCAAGGAAGGATTAAAGTAGATAAGGTTAATAGAGGGAACAATTCATTCATTGTCATGTTCTCAAATAACCCACTGTAGCTGCTGAGATATTATTGTCTGTAGGGGTGACACCCCCACCACCAGCCAGGGAATACCCGGGAAGAGGATGAGCAACGACAACATGGAAGTAAAGCCCTGCGTTAAGTCATAGATCGATACTTCATCATCCACTTGTTCACTTCTCGAGCTGCCACCTCCCCTCTGGCCTGATTCCTGCCGCCAGCCCCACTCCTCCAGCTGGTCCCGCTTTCCTCACATGCTCCCGAGCCAGAGGCACCAAACCGGCAGAGGGAAACCCTCAATGTAGGAGACCAGCACCTCCAAGATGAGAACCCGTCCTCGAAAGCGGACACGGTGGAGCATCCCTTCCCGCGGATGTCAGGGGGTACAGACAGAACCCACCTCTCTCGGGGCCAAGCGGGCACCTCCTCCCCAGCCAGGTGGGCGCTGCCCGAACCCACGGCCCTGCTGAGCGGGAGAGGAGGGGGGCGGAGAGGGGAGGGTGGGGGGGACGGTGATCTAGGCCAGGGCGAGGCTTCCCTGCGGCGGCCGCCACGGAAAGTAGGGCAAGCCCGCGTCCCCCCACAACCCGTCGGCGGGCGGGCCGGGGTTGGGCGGCCCGGGCGGACACCGACAGACCCGCGGACCGAGGGACCGCCGGGCGGACAAAGCGGGGCCGGGCCCGCGGGGCCTCCTGAGAGGGAGCGGCCGCGCGCGGAGACCGTTGGCCGGGGCGGGTGAAGGGGCCCCGCGTGCCCCCCGCGCGCGCGGTACCTACCCAATGCGCTCACAAAGCGGCGGCGGCGTCACGTGACCTCCCCCTTCTTCGTCTTCGTCGTCTTCGTCTTCTTCTTCTTCTTCCTCTTCCTCTCTTCCTCTCTTCCTCCTCCTCCTCCCCCTCCCCCTTCCTCCTCCTCCTCCACGCGCGCGCGGGGTCGTTTTCCCTCCCCACGTGACACGACACGACACGCTCGCGCACGGCACGGCACGACACCGCCCCGCACCCCTCACGCACCGCCCCCCTCACGCACCGCCCGCGCGCGCCCGGTCACCTGCGCCTTCTTCCGCCTCTGCCTCCCGCCCCCTCCGCTGATCACGTGAGCAGAGCGCGCGGGGGAGAGCCCGCCCCTTCCTTTCGCCTTCACGTGACCGGCTCCTCAGCGCGCGCAGGGCGGGAGGGGGAGCGAACAGCGGAGCCCCTCCCCCCGCCCGGGGGTGATGTGAGACATCCTCCGAGGGACCCCAGTAAGGGGCACACAGAGATCCCCGCGGCAGCGGCCGCAGGAGTTAATCCGCGAGTTCCTGAGGAACCCCTCGAGAGACCCCATGAGAGTCCATGCGAGGACTCCTCTGAGGAACCCTGTCACGGACCGTATGAGGGACCCCCTAGAAGCCTCCCTGAGGAACACCATGACGGGGCCCGGTGGGGGACCCGGGTGGCTTAGGAACAGGGCGTTTTAGAACTGGTTTAGAACTGCACTTTACATTAATGTAAATGTCTCCTCCTTTTGAGATGAGGGACACAGGGAGGCACCCTGTTGACATGGAGAACTCCAGGATAAAAGATAGCTGTACTACAGGAGGAGAAAGTCAAGTATGGTGGGTATTAATGAAGGATAGGGTGGGCTTGGCACAGCAGAATTGTGTTAGAGAACTTGGTGCAGCTTCTGGCTGTCTATAAACTCAACGATTACAGGACAGATGGCAAGAAAGGACAGTCGATAAAACTTTACTCCTGGGCTGAGTTTTGTGTTGTGAGTCAGGAGGGGGAAAAAAATAAAACCACAAACAAAAGTGTTTAGGCATTTAGGCTTTTTCCTGCTGTGTATTTTTTCCGTGCAGCACCTCTGGTTGCCGAAAATGTGGTGGTCCTTACCCTTTGGACATCATTGCAAGGCCTGGCATATTAAAGCCAGGGTTACTTACTCTGTGTGGAAGTTGGTCTCTGCTTAGTGCTGAGCAGGCAGGGTTGGTGACGGCAGTGTTTGAGCTTTTCAGCCCCTGGTGCCACCAGTGATGATGTCCCATGGCCCTTGACCTTTGCTGTGGTCTGATAATCTTTACTGCTCATCCTCTGTCCCTTAAGCCCATATTCTCCATGTAAGTAGAAAGGGCATGAAATCTGATTTTACCCTAAACAGTACTGAAAATCAGTCAGTGTTTTTCATGCTTCTGCCTTCTCTGCATAGATTAGATAGATTTAGTCAGTCTGCATCCTTGACACCTACTGCATAGATGGGCAGGAGCTACAACAGATCCTCCTGCTGAGGAGCTGCAAGATCTCCCTGTTCTTGTTTTCTCTCAGTATGATAGATGGTCCTTTGAACTAAATTGAAATTCAGACCAAAAAGTGCACAGGTATTTTTGGTTTTCTTGATGCAGCTGTTGTGATAATTCTGTTTTATTACTATTGCAGGGGGACAGTTAATTACAGCTGTAAACAAAGTTTCACAAGCTTTGTGACAAACATGTCTGCAGCTCCATAATCTGTGTAGATTTAATCAGTATTATTAGCATTCTTCCATCATGGCTTGGCAATCCTTTGATAATCAAAATGAAAATTTGGTATGCAGCACAAAACAACAAAGGCCAAGAGCTCTTGGGATGCTGTTGTCAGATGGTGTAGTGCCAGCTGGAATGTGTCTCTGAAAATCACACAGAATCCAGCCAAAGAGCATTTGGAATGGGAGAAAACTGAGCAGGGATACCAGGACCAAAGTGGTGTAGACTCTTTCTGCTGTACATGGAGTAAATATAAATGAGAAAATGGGATACTGCACTGACAAAGCTTCCAGAGGAGAGCTAAAGGAATAAATTGGTGGAGGCTTGGGAACAAAGACCTTCCCTCCAAATATTGAACAGGAGGAATTTCTTCACTGAAAGGTAGTGTAGCATTTGGATGGACTGCCTAGATGGTAGAAGTGTTCAAGAAATGGACGTGATACTTAGTGCTTTGTTCTAATTGTCAATTTGCTGATAAGTCACAGCACTCACTTTCAGGTGTCTTTTCTGACCTAAATGATCCTTTGATTCAGTACATCAGATGTGGGGATAAGACCCTGCACTAAACACTGTAAAGGTGTGACTGGGTCTGGCAGCCAAGTTCTGCCTACTGCCTCTGTCAGGATTCTTATCTGCTGTTACAAGGATTTGCAACATCTTCAATTTTCAAGCCAGTAAATGACAGTCTGGTGCAGGTGCAAGTCCAGATAGGCTATTTCAGCTTACTGCAAGATTGTTTTTCTCAGTCACTTTCTGCAGATTTCTGAAATAGGCTGCAGTTCACATACCACATACCAGTGGCTGGACACCACTCTTCTGGTGCTTTGGCATTCTCCTTCCCTATCACATTTGTGAGTGGGGAAAACTGCTTGTGTTAAGAATATCGCCCTGTTCCTAGTTCAGGAGGCTGTTCTACTTCTGTGTTGCAGTAAAACCATCTCTTCTTGACAAGCTCAGGTGGTACTATCTTCCCTGTTGCTAATGCTCCCTTCCACTTTCCTCACTACCAACCCTTCCCCCTCAGGCTCATCGGACACTTAGTCTGACTGAGCTGAAGTTCAGAGCAGTTTTTTGCTATTTATTCTGAAGTATTTAATTTTTTTTGTGCCCTGCTTTTTCTTTTTTTACATTGCTTGTTCTAATAAAATATTATTCTGCACTGCAAACTGGTCTCACAGCCCTGTCCCTGATGACACGTCTTCAACAGTCACTACCTTTTTCCAAAATATATTGCACTAGCCTCAGAGAGTCAACATAATCCAGGTAAACAAGCTTTGCAAGGGAGAGGCTCAGTATGTAGAAACCAGTCTTGACTTTGAGCTTTGAGCTGAGTTTGCAGGGAATGTGTGTACAAGCCCAGAAGATAATGGGGTTAATCTCAATCACTGGCTGCAGAGCCAACCAAGGATTGTTGGTATTACCAGCCAGGGATTGTTAGCAATAATACACTGGGAGAACGAACAGAATGTGGCTGGAGAAGGGGCCACATGGAGTTAGAGCAGCACTTTTCTGGGACAAACATCCTTATCCTGACTCCTGGAGATTAGCACAACACAGCACAAGTGTAGGAATGAGGTCAAGAAGCAGGCCTGTAGGAGGATATGGGGACCACCAAATACCCTGAAGCCTCCAACCAATTTTCATAGTAGCTAAATTACACAGAAAGGGAGAAATTTACTTCCAGTGCACGGGAACTCATCTAGAAAAAGGTACCCATACAAAGCCCAGATATGTGTGTACCTCAGGACCTGCACACTCCATCATCTGCATCAGGGATGGAGCTAGGACTGCTGATTCTCTCTCTTTCTCTCTCTCTCTCTCTCTCTCCCTCTCTTTGTCCCTTCCCTTCTCCTCTTTAATACAGCTTTTTTTCTTCCTCTCTTCCCTTTGACCTCCCTTCTTTATTTTAAACTCACTGCCATGTGCTGTCAGAGACTAACATAAGAGTTTTCAAGCAGAGTGTGTAATCTACTAACAGAATTTTGTAATACAGATTTTGTGGGCCCTCTGACTTTTGCTGTTTCTTTTGTCCACAAGAATTTGCAAATCTTAGGTGCTCCCTTCTCCTGAAGGGTGGGATGCCACATTATGGAATTTTCCCTAGGTATAGAGGAACAATTGAAAATTTTGGTGGCAAAGTGGAGTTCTCTCAAGAGAACTATTAAAAGGATTTGATAACAAGACATGCTATCTTTGCACATACCTGGGGTTGCTGCTGCATTTAGATGTGAGGTGAAGCTTGTGGGGATGCTGCCAAGAAATGGGATCTAATGTTAGATTTTGTTGATATGCCTGCATAAAGCAGAGCTTCCACAACAATTGAACTGGAAAGGATTGCCATTTACATTATGGAAGCAAGCCCTTTTCCTAGAGATACCATTCATGATGGTGAAGGCTGGAAGGATAATGTCATCGTGTCCAGCCTTCAAAAAGCCCAGGCCATTCAATTATTAACATCCATGGCCTGCATTAGTCCATCATGTCTCAGCATGCTCCTTGGAATTTGTGTTGGGCTGCTTGATCATTCTTTAGAGTCCGTGTGTCGCTGGAGATGACTCTTTTCTCCAGGTGGTTCCTGCAGACCTTGGTCCAAGTTTTCTTATTGTGTAGTTTGACTGTATGTAAAAGGTGATACATTTTCATGTGACCAGAATCTGAAATTGTTCTGCACAACCACCTTAACCCTACTGTTATTTTCCATTCTTTCTCAACCTTTTCCAGAAAACATTTTATCTGAATCTGTATTTATTTTCAGATTGTTGAGACAGTTCCATATGTCTGAGCCTGACATTGATCCTGCAGAACCTTGCTTAAACACCTGAGAAGGATGCTAGTGGGGGTTAACCTGTGTAGTGCATGTCCTTCTAATGGTGAGTGTTGAGTTTGTTCTATCATGTTCCCTGATTTCATTCTCTGCCTACCCACTGTTACCTCTACCAGACAACTGTTTCTAAGAATTAAACAGGCTATGGTTAACAGACTTGTTTTCTATACAACACTGTTGTTTGACATTAGCTGCGTATCTAGCCTTGAATTATCTATTTAGTCCTTTATCATTTTTCCATTATTTTGTCTGTGACATCAGAGAAAGTAGTCTGCAGATGCCTGATTGCTTTGTCCCCTGTTCTAACAATGTCATGCTTCCTGCCTTTTAAAATTCCCCAAGATTAAATTATCTCCAAGAAGCCAGAAGTTTCCTTGGCCAGCTCTTAAATAACTTGATGAGGCAGAGTTGCAGTAGATGATCACTGAAGGTGTTGTAAACATCCTTGCATGGTGTTGCTCACTGCCTTTTGCGGCACTTACAGACCATTTGTCTTTATCAGTTGGATTTTATCAAGCCTAGTGGAATCCCAACCCTCCCTTACTCCAGGTAATATAAAAGTTCCTGTAAAGAATGCTAACAAATGAATAGTATTGTAAAGTGGAAGCTGGATTTGCACCATTTGCTGTTTTCCCCCAGACTTCCATCTTAGGATAAATTACAAGCATTTTTATCCTGTGATTTTAGTAGAATGTTTTGAATAGTGTGTCCAAGGATATTTGCCAACTCTGGTTAAATGTCAGCCATCTGTTTTCAGTTTTAAAAGGGCTGTTTGTAGATGCAGCAACTGGCAATGGCAAGAACAAAGCAGTGAGCTTGGGAGACACCAGGGAACTGCAGGCTGGTGAGCCTCCACTGAAAGCCTCAAACACTGAGGACAAGAGGATGACTGGCACTAGTGTTCAATATGGATTTACACTGGGGAAGTCATGTCGGGCTGATCTGGTCACCCGCTGTGATGAAATGACTGCCTTGATGAATGAAGGGAGAGGAGAGGGATGTTTCTCAGTTTGAGCAAAGCTTTCAGTGGTGTTTGCTAAAAGAATCTCATAGACAAACCGATGGACTACAGACTGGGTTTATGCACAGCTGCAGAGCTGCTGGGTTCAAGGGGTTGTGATCACTGGCACAAAGTCCAGTTTGAGTTTAGTCACTGGTGCTGTGACCTAGGTCCTGGGACCAATACACATTCAAGCTCTAGATGTTTACCTTCTCTTTAAGCAACAAGTTGAGTGCCCAGAGCTCAGGACTAAAAGCTTCCCGCAAAACCAAATAAGCTCCAAGTGCAACAGCAACAGCCTCCAAGGTAACAGGGACGGTGGGGTTTTTTTGGAGTCAAAGCCTATTTATACTGGTAGAAACTAAAGCTGCCTTTCTACAATTAACAGGAAAAATGCTCCTATAAATACACATGGCAAGTCTCCACATCCCAAGACTCCTAGAATTTATTTCCAGGAAGGGAAAAAGTCTACATGAAGTGGTTTTACCAGGCAACAAGATCATTAATTGTTATAGCTTAATAGTGCTCTGCTGGCATCCTCACTAGCTGACTGCAGTGTGGTGTCCAGTAGCCCTCAGCAGCAGTACACAGGTTGCCACCATAGCACATGAGGAAGTGAATCTTGTTATCTTAGTACTGGCCAACTTTCCTCACACTTTTGGCTCCAAGACCTTTCTTGGGGCTCAGATACATGGAGAAGTTAGCCAGAATTTCTCCCTAGGTGAATACTTGCCTAGAACACTGCAGTGATTGGGGTGGAGTTTTACAGCAACAGTGTCAGTCTGCCACCCCAAAGACAACCTTTAGTCACATTTTTTCCAGTTGCCTAGAATCTAAAATTTCTGTTGTAACTGAGTCTGTGTGCTCCACATTCAACATACATCAGGCACTGCAGGGGGTTTATAGGGAGAGGAAAGCCCTGGAATGGGAAAACTTCTGACAACACAGGGGAAGAAAACCCACAGACACTGATTATAGGGGTTACAAATCTTTCTGCTGACACTTCAGCATCTGTGGAACATGACCCTCACTCTGTTTATGTCTTTGACACAATTAGTTCAAGCAGTGTCCACCTGACTTTTTGATTGCAGCTCTGCACTTGAGGCCTGTAGCTTCTCTCTCACCTCTGCCAGCTCACAATACAGCTCAGTGAAGAAGAAATAGTAAGACTCTCTGTACAGGGCAGTATTTTGGAGCAGCTGACCCATTGCTCCCAAAAGCCATGTTGGCCACATGGTCCCTTGAGCCTTTTAGAGGGTAGAAGCCCTCCTGACATTTGTTCTTCCAGAGGCTTGAGAAGGACTGAGGAAGCTGAGAGACAAAGCACAGAGATTCTTTTTTTCTAATACACTATGAACTTTCTCACTTTCAATGTCTCAAAAATGGGCCACCTCTTACCCAAAAAACATTCCAAGCACTGTGTCCTGGCATCTCTTTATTTTTATGGACCTTGAAAGCACCTTATATTTGAAATACTACCCTGATATTTCATTCAGAAACACAGGATGACTATGGCAATGGCTAGGAAGGACTAACAGAACAGTGTGAAACTATTCTGAGTCCTGTCCTAGTTTGGCTTCCTCCTTGAGCAACAGCAGTGCCAACCAGCTGGCAAGAGCTGAGGCCCTGAGTCACAGAGATCAGAAAAAAAATACACCCAAGAAGGGAAGTGATGACAGCCAAGTAAACCTGCAGCCGCTGGGCTGGAGCTGGAGGCAGGCAGCAGATTGAGTGTTGAAAGGGGTAATATTGACTGCCACATGTTTGCAGCATATAGTCAAGACATAGTTGATAACACCACAGACCAGCTGCAGGCTCCAGGCCAAGGAGTGCAGTGGGTCTCATTTTGGTTCCACAGACAGGAATGACAATTGCCATACATGTACATGTCGAGGGAACCTAGACCTTTTGGCAGAAGGAGTGAAGACTCTGGCCATGAAACAGATAAAAATCTCTTCCCCCAAAAATGGTGAGCTGCCTTACATAAGGAAACAAACTGATTCATCTGCACTGTGAATGGGAAAGCAAGGGGACCTGCAAGACAGGTGATGGGACAAAATAGATTAATGCTAGAATTAGTTTCTTGGGGACAATTTAGACTTTTTATTGCTGAGATTTAAGCTGGACATGCATGCAAGAGGAACTCAATTAATACCAACAGCTTCTGAATTTGTGAGCTCATTTTTGCTCCTGTAAATGACACTATCTGAATGCTGTACTCAATGGAGCATCTGAGGCTGGTAGGGAATTAGTAACCCTGGTTGCCAGAGCCCTCTCTAACCCATAATTTTCTGTATGTCTCCAGGGCCAGGTTTTCCTTTGGTTTTCCTTTGCATCTCTCAAACAGTTTGATTAGAAGGCTCAGTGGAATGACAGTTCTTATGTCTTTTTAAAGTCTGCCCTTCCAGCATTCACGTATCAGTAATGCCTACTATGGGGAGCAGAGCTTGAGTTTATCCATGATCATGGAAACAAGCCTCTCAGGATGAGGCCAGGGGTGAAGACAGAGAGGCAGAAGCTGATTTTAGGCAGAGAATTTTAACCTCCAGCATAAAACTTAGACCTCTCAGACATTCCTCTTCTGAAAAAATAACTTTCCCACTTATAGACAGTGAAATAGGACAGCTATGTGAAGGCCTCATTCTCCTGTGCAATGAAAATATCTGGAAGTGTTACAGATGCAGTTTTGGGATGCAAGATCTCCCTAAAACCTGTAGTCCTATACCTGACTGTCCAGCTACATTTATCTGTGCTGTTCAACACTTCTAAGAAGTAGGTCCTTCTTAGAAAAATAAAGTGGTTGAAAGGAAACTCTTGCCTCGGAGCAAATGAGGTATCAGATGATGAGAACAGGAAGGAGATGCTTTGAAGTGTAACAGTCCCAACTCTGCCAACAGAAAAATCTCCTATGGAAGTAACGAGTATTGCTACAGCTGTACAGAGAACTAGGACTGATGTTTAGGCCATGAAAAACTAAAAATAAGCTGAGATTCTGCTCTTGGGTTTTCAACCCACTCACTGGTGAAGGAAAAAAGAACAATTCACTTCGTTTTCACTGAATCAGTCATGTCCATGCAGAGGCTGGACTGCTGTGGTAAGAAATCCAAGCCCACTCGCTTTTAAACTGCCCTGGATTTACTTGCAGTGGAATACTAGCAAATAAGGGAAAATATCAGCCAAACCAAAACACTATACAAATACATTTTATTTAGAGATACCCATAGTAAGATGCACAAATACTTTTTGTCCACCAATTTTCAGATCACACAACTTCTAGTAATGGAAAAAAAAAAACTGCAGTTAATTACAATTATCTATGTAACAGGGCAGTAGTAAAAGATTCATTTATCAGACTACAGAATGGTTAACGATACTCAGATGAGAATGTACAGGTCTAGGTATTTAAAAACTGCATGGGGCATTGCCACATACACTAACATACTTCTTTGAAGAGCAACACCTTTCTGGCATGTGACAGTTAACCCAGTTAATGCAAGAGGGAAAATGGGCTCATAATTTGATCTGGAAATTTATCTACTAAAAGTTTTCCTCCAAACAGCAAAAATTTGTGACTGACACATGGAAACCAATCTATAAAAACCACTGTTACATTGTCCATGTAGTCAAGCAACACTTACATGACCCAAAATTTAAAATTACCAATTCCAGTCTACGCCATCACAGCTTTTACACAGTCTTCTTCAAAAGAGTCCAGAATACTTAATTGCATTTAACAAGCCGGCAGAAGAGCCATAGTTTGAGCACCACACTTTTGCACCCACAATGAGCTCTTATACAAGAGTAATCTCAATCTTCAAATTAAAAAAAACCATATTCCACCTGCAAGGACATCAACTGGCTCATGTATTGCTTGGTTTATTTTTAAATTCCCATGTAAATGGAAGGAAAGGTAGGAAGCTGCACTGGTCTGAGAGAATAGCTGCATTGGTTTAAAGTTATATTTAAAACACATGGAACCTGGACTCATCTCCAGGGTCTCTCTCAAACCAAGGAAATTCATTAGGTTCCACTATTCAATGCAGTCCCTGTTTTGTTTTTAAATAGGGATAGTGTTGAATGTGCTTGGGAAAGACCACCAAGGACTGTTGTGTGAGTGATTATATATAAAAACAAGAAACACATTTAATCAGTTGTCAGATAATCTTCCATTGCAAACATGAGAGCAACAGAGACTGACTTTGCATTATAGTTGAGAGGCACATTTTGCACTGATGGACAGAAAATCTTGGTTTACCTTGCAACTTTCTGTGGCTTAAAATACCACCTAACTTCCTGTTAAAGCAATTTTTAAAAAACAAACAAAAAACTGTCAATTATTGTTTTCATACTTAAAATTCATAAGCTGCTCTCTTAGCTATTCTATTCAGAGATACCTTTCTACTTGAGTATATGCAGCTGGTTTCTTCCTTGTTTGTCTAAGAGACCCTTGTTTCTGTGCAGCTTGAGACAAATAATCCTGATGCCTCAGGACAGGCCCCTGTACTATGTTCAGGAGTTGAGAAAGTTAGTATGGTTTTTTACATTTGCAGTAAACCCCAGAACAAAAACGACAAGAAGAAAAGCCACTGAATTGCAACAACCAGCAGTACAGGAATCAACTACATGGTACAAGAGTGACTTTGGAGCAAACCTTTTTGGACTGTAAGAGATATGGCAGTACAAGAAGATACCTAGAGCTGAGTAAAAAGAATAAGGACACTGTGAGCAAGGTCCTAGTTCAGCAAACTACTGCCTAAGCCACTAGAAGTTTCAAAGTGTAGTAGGGCTCTAACAGGTGCCCCCAGGCTTTGCAGAATTTTGTACCCGAACTAGTACACCATGAGAGAACAGGGAACTTGCTCAAGTCCCAGGCAAGCAGTGTGACAAGATATGAGTGAGGCTAGGACAAGAGACTGAGACTGGAGACAGCAATTGAACAAGAGGGACAAAGCCCACCAGAAGTTACTTAACCAGTTCTTTTACTAACAGCCCCATTATCACACCTGCAATGTGAGAGAAGCACAGAGCAACCAGCTGAAGCTGTAAATCACAATTGGCCCGTTACATCCCTGCACTGTCAACAGCCAGCCAAGTGCTGGACAATGCAGATAAGGCCCTTTCACTCCATCATCCCTGCACAAAGCATGTGGAGGGGGCTGGTAGCAGCTATGAAGCACATTAGTCATAGTCACTCATGAAAACAGAGACAAGTGCACTGGTAACCTTGAATGTTGAGGGGAAGACTGAGTGGCCACTGAGGAAACTGGTTTTTCCGCATGCCATCTTCACATCTCATCTGAAGAGGGATTACCACCAGGTTTGAAAGTTCTGGGTGCAACTTAATTTGCAGTGATCTAAGGCATGATGGCATAAACCCTCAAAAGCCTACCCTTCAAACATTCCATTGCCAGCTCACCTCTTTGTCATTCTTCCTGGACAAAGTAAATTAGAATAACTTTTCTCTTTTGAGCACAGGTTATTGTTTTGCTCATATCCCTACTCTTTTACAATTCCACCCCCAAAAACATAAATCTCTGGAGGAAGCCATTACATGGGATCAAGTCAGCAACTCACCCTCCTAGTATTACCCTGAATGAAACCTTTAGTCAAGACTTTGAGTAGCAGTCAAAGATGCCAGTTCTCTGGCTAAACCACTACAGATCAGTTTGACAAACACCCTGAGTGAAGGCAGAGGGCACCTTTACTTCCTGATCTGCTGATACCCACTGACCAGTATGAGTCCAAGAGGCTTTCAGCTTCTGCAGACTGTGCAGGGGTGAAGTCTCCACTTGCAAGACAGGCATCTATCCACAGAAGTTTATGGTAAAAGCACACAGGGATCTTGCCACACTGGGCTACAGGTTTTCTTTTTATTATGACTCAATAGTTTTCAGAGTAGGCAGACAGCTTTGAACTCATCATTACAGGTGAACTAGGAAGAAATGCGAGAAGAGGATGATGCTAAATGTTGAAAACTAAGTTAAATCCATTTGTTCCACTCAGAAAAGTGACTGTCTTAAAAACAGCACCTCACTGAAATTAAAGGAACTCTGAAATTAGCATGAAGCAAAAAGAACTGCAAAAAGTCTCTACTGTGGTACAGAGAGAACAGATACTGTTAGCACAGAAAACACACAGACTTTAGAGCTCTATGACCATGTATTAATGTCAATACACTGATGACTAATGTGCTGCTTCTAAATACAAAGGTAACCTCATGGATCAACAGAATGCAGTACTATCATTCAGTTAATTATGCATAGGCATGTCCATGGAAGGCCACAGCAAGTGAAGATATATATGTTCCTTTTCCATGCTATTATGAGACATAATGTATCAATTCTACTGTATTTTCTAAATGCATAAGAGTTAGAAACTCAGGCCAAATGCCAGATGTCAGTTTGAGGTTTGCAAACAAATACATCTTTAGAAAACTAAACTGAATGTAATGTCTTTGTGTTGAAAAAAACAACAACAAAAAACACCTTTTCAGAGAGGAGAAACAATTTGCAAGGTAACAGAACACTAAGCCCCATGTGCAGACAGGCTGGTTTCACATACTATCTGCAATTTCACACTGTTCCATTTGCAAGCTGCATCAATCACTTGGAACAGGTTTATCTTACAGTCAAAAAATGTGCACTGGAATATTTGAAGGGAGCTGTTACTACTTTGCTTGACAGCTTCTGTGATAGTTCAGGATTCAGTGCTGTTTCTGATACAGCTCATGACAGAAACAAGCTGAGAAAGCCTCTGCTAGATGGGTGGATTTGGAGGAGCTGTTAACAAACATCAGACCCTGGATTCAGAACAAAAGCCATCAAGTATCAGCAAGTCCTGATTATTTTTTTTTTTCCTCAAGGCTTTGGATCTTATTAAAAATATTTGGGAAAAAAACATTAAAAATAGTTCACTGTAGGACATCCTATCTTCAGGCAACAAGTTATGACCACTGCACATTTTAAAACACCTTGTGTATTTTGTGCATTTTATGCACCACAGGCAGTGGGGAATATCCAGCATTTATCTACACATGAACATACAAGCAAGGACTGACAGATATCACTGGCAAGACTGATATCAAGACCACCCAGCGCATTGATTTGTCTACACCACATCTTAACACAAATGGAACAAGTCACAAGTAACAGTACAAACCTGTTGCAATTTCAACACATACATCTTAGAAAAAGACAATGCATGTACCCAGCCCTAAGACAGTGACAAGTTTGAGATAACTTTATAAAGATCAAGGTACCAGAAGAGGAAGGCACATTAACCTCTGGTTGGTCCGTTTCGGTACTATTTGGATGAGCCATAGTGATTTATACCCTGAGACTGTGAGAGGTCTTGAAAATGAAAAGAGACCAGGTAAATGGGTAAATAAAAAGTACACACAAGTTTAATGAGATAGTAAGATTCAGCACCTGAATTTTCCCTTTTAGCAAGGGAATCTAGAAAAGCGGTTCCTAAGAGAACACTGTATTGACTCCTAAATTTTTTGTTCTAAAGGCAAAATAATACAAAAGAATCTTAGACTAAAGACATTGCAGTATGTTGCAAGGGGTTTTATACACCCTCTCAATTTCAGTACAGCAAACACAATTTGTATACAATCAGGTGTTGGTGGTTTTTTGGGTATAGAAACAGTCAGACTGCCCACATTTTCCCAACTCTGCCGCCTCCATTTTAAATTTGTGTACACTTTCTTAGACCGTACTGCTCCCAACAGGGTATTAGTGGAAAAGGCTGTTAGAAAATGGGAAGATTCCTTTCTGCAAGAGCATTCTTTTAATTAGCCAAGTACCACACGGTTTTCATTAAAAAACCCAACATCACAAGCAAAAACTGACTTCCTAATTTCATCTTTGAAAAATAACAAACAGTTATTATAATAAAACAGAAATATTATAATAAAAACAGAGTTGCTAAAATAACACTGGGATGTCAGGATATATACTTGATTTCTCAAAGATATTTCTGATTAAGCATTTACATATCCCCTCTAGTTTTTAAATTCTTCAGGAGTCCTGAGAGCCATACCAAATACTGTTTGCCTTTTATTGTTTTTCTGGTGTTCCTTGCCCATCCTCACCACACAAAGTGCTCATGTACAGGGGCAAATGACAGTACCTCACCCAAGATGTAGCTGTGTTGTCTCTTCCACTCTCCCTTGTCCTGGAGTGTCTGCTTCAGAATTTCAAATAAGTTACTTGAGGGCACCATAACACTCAGAAGTGCATTTTAAGTTGGGGTCATACCATGGGCTCAGACTGTGGGTGGCCAGCAGGGCATACAGCGATTTTCACTTGGCTTTCAGCTAAAAAATTTGTGTCTGGTAGCTCAGGAGTTCCTGGCTCAGCATGGGCTGGCCAGAGGATCAACTCTACCTGCATGATACACAGATCTCCAACAGAGTTCCTTAGGAACAAGCTATACCCCAATCCAGTAATTCAGTCATAGCAGCAATTGCAGAAGTAGCTAAGTAAGAAGGTATCAGACACCTTGGAAAAGTGCATTTATTGAAAATAAGGGTAACAGACCACTAAAAACAGACCTCCCACTTGGCTGCTGAAAGATGCTGCTGCTTTCCCACATGCAGTAACTGACAGCCCACCTGTCCTTCGTTTCTTGCAAACAAAGCAAACAAGTGACCTCATGAAGGGTCTAGGCAAGCTTGCTTTGTTTCATGCCTGCACCAGGTGAGGCACAGCAGTTCAAAAGGGTTGTAATGCCTCTCAGCTGAGTGGCACAAATTACAACACCAAAGCACCACTCGGCATAGCTGGATCATCAATTTAATCTGTTAGTTTTTTAGCTGCAAGCTATAGACAAAACAAGTGCTCAGGTGAAGGAATAGGATGAAATTCTTGAAGAGAATGATCCCCAAGTATCTTAATCCTTTAGATACAAAAAGCTACCAAAGACCTAAAATGGAGGCAGCAAATATAAACCCCTTAATGCAATTCAGGAGTCTCTCTCATGAAGACAGTGACAAGAGTTATCCACAATATGAGTGTAACTTTTGTGAACAGACTAAGGCCAGCAAGATCACTGGGCACTCTTGCAATGATCTTAAAAATGGATCTGTAGGGAGAATGAACTGAGACTAGGAACATAAACCTACTATCAGCTATTCTTTGGTAATTTACTCACCTCAAACTAACACCAGCAGCACTCATGAGGGAATCAAACAAATGGACTAACTTCTTTACTGCAATCCCAGAAAGCACCAGGGGAATTCAATTCTAGCAATTTTCCCTACAATACTGGACTGTACAAGGGAGAAACCTGGAGGAATTACAGCAATAAGGTGTTTAGTGAAGAGGGTGAGCATAACCCTTGTTACTGTGCTGAAGCCAACAATGTAAAGTAACTTCTGATTCCTCAGGCATGTCGCATGACATAACATCCGTTACTGAAGAGTTGCTACTCAGTATTTACAAGCTAGGTATTATCAAACCCACAACTGAGTCACTAGTTTGATTACCTATCATAAATACTGAAAATATAATACCCCAAAGTACCTAAATTAACATGGTAGTCTCCTAAACTCATTGGTACCATAGAAGATTCCACACGACTGAGAAGTCAATAGCAACCAGTCTGAAGGCATGTTATGCTAAAAGTTCTCTCCTTCAAGCAAGATAAACCAGAGTATGTTGCCCATGTGGAACAGACTGCTACTGTGCAATCATGTAAGTTAAACACGTACCAGGGCTACTGCCCTGTTCAACAGTCTGAGCCAGCCTTAACTTCTATCCAGTTAAAATAAAGCAAATTGAAGCTTTTGAGCACAGGTTGACCAAATGCCAGCAAGCCTGTTCCTGCTCAGCAGAGGTCACCTCTGCAAGGACAATATTGCTACAGCAAAGACTGGTATGATGTGGGTTGGAGGAGGCAACCGCAAACAAACAATTCAAGCAGGAAAGATCAAGGGAGGGAAATCTTGAAAAAACAGTGGAAAAGATAAGATGGTCCAATTATATGCATGTCATTGGGTCTCAGCAGCACACAGGAAGCTATTCAGGAAGCTACTGTAGTGCAGTCACCAGACTGAGCTCACTCCACTGCAGGGTTGTATCTGGCTTTTGAACAGTGAGGTACCCAGCCTCCCTCTCTGCAGAGTCTCGAGGCTACCTACTCTGCAGCCATTCCTGTGCTTGGATGGGAAACCCACTAATTTCTAACCATGATCAGTAGATATCTAACCCAAAAGGGCAACAAAATCAAAGTAAAAAAAAATTGTTTTTCTTCTATTACTTATCTTTGGACAGTTGGCCTATCATCATCATCTTTCTATGACTCAGTTTATAACAGTGATTGGAACAAAAGTTATATATGACCAACTAGAGAAATAGTCTGAAACTTAACATCTATATCACTGTAAGCATTTAAAACCACTGAAACTAGCTAAAAATTAAGTTATCTCTGGTCCAAATTGTTTGTGTGCTTGCAGCACTATCTGGTTTCGTTACCAGTTTTTTAATGGGGATTCTCATACAGCAACAAAGATGGCTCCCTTACTGTGAGAAGTTATGTTTGCAAGAAAGCACCCTGAAAGCAGAATACACAAAAGCATGTGAGACTTGAGACATTTTACATCATTGTCCAGATTCATCTGAGAATTGTGCAGAGCCTTTTATGAAGAAAAAAAGGAGGAAAAGGGCACTCACATTACCAGGCTTTAGGAGCACACATTAAGGTACTTGTGGAGATCACAGTCAATAGGGAGGGACAATTTTGGTGCCTCTTCAGTTATGTAGAGACTTCAGAAAAATTGGCCTTTGTGTTTGAAGGCCATACACATACGCTTTTTCCTCCTATCATGGCCTAAAATATGCTTCAATTAATAGATCAACATCAGGGCTCGAATTTCCAGACCAGGAGTCTCCCTTTGGCACTGCTGACACTAAATGCCCAGCTATTACCTGTTGCTTCAGCAGAACAGAGGACATTCAGCTAGACTCAAGTGTCTAGCTTCTTCAAAAAAACAAAGCAAAAAACTTTCAACAAATTAAAAAACAAACAAACAAACCAAAGCAGAACATGTTCCTTGTGACAAAATGATCTTACACAGTAGCTGTAAGGATACAAATCTTGCCATTCTTCTCCAAGACTTATTTTTCTTCATGTACTTCCACTTTTGCAAGCCCCTAAAATAACCAAAGCAGCTACCCCATGGTATATAATTTTACCTTTTCAGAGAAAAGCCTGTCTAGACATACACACATCACACATGTGTGATGACCTGATGCAGTTTATGCAACCAGGCCACAATGGTAAGTATTATGCAACACTGGAAGGTCTGCTTGTGAAGCACCTGTGTTAATGCTCAGTTTTAATTATACTTCTGGGATAAGTGCACACCTGGGAGAGAGTTCTCTTGCCAGGACTTCCACCCCAATGAGAGGGACCTGCACTCCTTGCAGGATTTCCATCCAGGTCTCCATACCAGCTGGAACTTAAGCCTGATGCGGACTGCTTGGTGTTACTGATGCAGATATTGAGTATGAAAGTAAGAGAGACTGCAAAGACAAATGCAGATTAGCTCTGGGCTGTGGACAGGAGCTGCAGTGGTAGTTGATCTCCCACAGAGATGGGAGAATAGAGCATGTCCTGCCTTGTCTTTCCTCTCAGTTTCAATCAACTGCCCATTTGGCACCAAAGCTGCGAGGTACAGGCACACTTTGCTCCACCAATGTCAGGGGAAAGGCATTAATTCCAGCAGAGGACAGAGGCATCACTAACAAGCTGAGAGTTTGGTGCCTGCCAAAAGGAGGAATACCTTGGAATCTTGCATTTTAGCTGAGTATTGGGTAAGACCATCACCATGGGAGGCACGCGCTACACAGTGGGACCTGAAGGGCACTGGACCCATTCTCCCCTCCCAGTCCCAGGTGAAGCTGGAGGGAGTCTGAAAGCAGAAGGCAGCAAGGGATTCTGGAAAAGCAAGAGCCTCTCCTACAGCATATGCTAGTGCAAAGTGAGGGAACACCAAGATACCCTGCTTTGCAGAAAGCTGCTCACTTGCATTAGTAAAGTCTGAGATGCACTCTTTAATCTTCGTGAAAAAAAATTAGTTTATTTATTCCATTGGCTTCTTTGAGCAGATGGCCAACCAGAACAGCAAAAAGGGGAAAAATTTCCACAACTTGGGATAAAAAAGGTCCAAGGTTTAAGGCAGTTTATGAAGATCTTATAAGCTACCCTAACAGAATACTCAGAAGTCATATTTCATCTGAAGAACAGATAGATTTAGTTCATTTTGAATAACTAGCCCCCATTTCCTCTCAGCATCTCTGCAGCCTTCAATGTAATGTCACCCTGCAACAGCCACGCTGCAAAACAGTCTGTACAAACTCCAGTTGTGCAAGCTGATACCTGGGACAGACAGTGAAGAAACAGACCAATTTTTGCTCCTAGCACTGCTGAGAACTACCATTCAAACAAAAATGCACTTTTAGAAACTCCTGCACTTTGGATTTGATGGCAATACCCCTAAGGAACCCATCCCTGGGCTCCAGTGAGTACAGCTTAAAATTACCATATCCCTCTATGTAAAAACAGTGTCATTAGACTTGTACTTTTAAAAAATACTTGTACTTTTAAAATCAACCCAGGCCAGGGCCAGGCTCTGCAGATAAAGTAGTAGCTTATCTCTTATAAATATTTTTAATAGTTTTTAATTACACGTAGTCCTCACTCCAGGTAATGTAACTGACACAAAGTACCTGCACACATGCAGCCCCAAGACTTTCACAGAAAGTTCAGGAGCAACCACTCTTTAAGAAAGAAATCCTACCTCACAGCAAAGTAGAGGAGGGGACACATGGCCAAGCCAGCCTAAATGGGGGGAAGAGTCATTTGGACTAAATACAATAAAAAAGAACTTCAAAACCCCTCCATACAAAGGATCAAGGAGGTTAAAGCAAAAAACTAGTTCAAAAAGATGTACGAAACTGTTGGAGACCAACAGAAAATTCCGCCAAAAAATAACTTGTGTTTAAATCAGGAATCAGTGGCATCACACAATTTTGTTGTTAAAAAAAGAAGAAGGAAAGTGGAAATCTGTGTAAAGATCAGCATCAGAATGAAGAGTTATCATTAGCTCCAGAGACCAGCATAATTCCCATGAAGTCCTGATGGAAGAGGGCCTCCTGCCACAAACAATTTCGTTCCAGACGAGTCATAGCAGTGGGTGTAAACAGCATTTGGGAAGTAATTTATGTCAGAAAAATAATTCCTCCAGGTTTCATCATGGTTCTGTTAAAGAAAAGTTTAGATTGTTATTATTGCCAAACAAACCCAAAACCCTGTTTCACAAAAGCATTAGGTAGCTTCCAGAGCCTAAAAAGGGGTATTTTCTCATAACAGTCCTGAAGCTTTATAAATGTCAACTAAAAGATACCTGAGTTGTCCTGAACCTTTTTCTGAGAACATTTAGGTCAAGCACTGGGGAGGTGAGGAGACGTTGCAATGATACAACAAAAGGTAATAGAGCTAAGTTAAACGAAGCCATTAACTGCTTTATAATAACATACAGAAAACCAAATGCAAGTGCCTGACATGGCATTACCTCAGGCAGCCACAGTTTCTAAAACTGCACAAAATTAAATTAAAACCTTCTTGCTTCAAGTACCACATTAGATTACCATGGCTTTAAAGAAAGACAATTTATTCTCTGTTTGAGGTTCTGAAAACTACAAGTTAGATTACATTTGAAAATGTAAAGATACAAAATCTAGTTAATTTATGAATCAGTGCATAAGAACTGTAATCACTATGCCTTACTCAAGCAAATAACCTTCAGTACCCTTTCATAAAGCTTTTGTAGAAAGCAATTCTGCAGCACTTCTTGCTCTTCATTATTAGTTATTGGTTACATGAATACTGTTTGACTGAGACACATTTCACACAACAGGTCCAAAAAGAACTGGCTCTACCCCACTCCTAAATAATGGGCCTACTTCCTCCCACCTCCATCACAGCTACAAACTACTTACCAGCCAGCCTTTCCCAGTTGTCAACTTCAAAATTTCACTTCCTCCTAATTTCTGCTTCTGTCCATAACAGACATGGGGGGGCTTCTCTTCCAGGAACCTTTGGGCTCTGATATCATAAAACAACAAGGACCCTTGTCCTGTCCCCACAGTGATGATGTGCTCGTAGAAGCTCACCGAGCGGATACCTGTCAAACAGAGAAGGGATGGACAGTGCAATAAGGAACAGGGATGTTTCGGCTCTTCAGTGCTGTTGCTTCATGTCTAAAATTACCTATTAGTACTCTCCAAAAAACACACGTTTTCCCACTGCTACAGAGCAGTGCAGACAAATCCCACTGATGCTATTGAAACAGCAGCTTTGATGCATACATGGCTGCTCTAATCCTTGAGACCATCAGCTACACCAATGGTACATAGTAAGAAACTTTATCCTCAGCAGCTCTCAGGTCTGCTAGATAAGCCAATTAGGGTCCAGAGCACCTTTGTTCTGTCTGCACAAGCCTTTAATTTAACACACCAAGAGCAAGTACATGGCAGCAGTCAGAGGGAAGAACATCACGCTGTTTTCCTCCACGAGCTCACACCCTAACTACCTGCAGTAAATGACCATCTGAGAAAAGAAAGTCCCAGCTGCCACCAAGTGCATTGTGCTGATGAAAAAGCTAGGTGTAAGCAAGTGTAATCATAATAATCACCAGTCACTTTGCTGCTAAGATAGCTTCAGAACTATTAATGAACCTGATCTGTCTCTACTCAAATATTCTCAAACAAGCACACCTAATTTTTAGTAGCTGGCATTTTTAGCACATTAGCCAGGAAAGAAAACAGAACAGGACTCCTGCCATCTAAACAACACCGTGCTCCACCAGTATATGGGAAGGTACAGTTCAAACTAAACATGTTAGCACAATTCAGTTATCCCATTACATTGGAAAAGAGTGTAAATTTTGTTCTCACAAAATCTAAATTTGAAGTCTCAGCTAATCAAGAATCCCTTGGAACTAGTCTTGGGGAGATTCTGAATGTAAGAATTTGCAATATGCAAAACATCCTGTCATCTCATCTCCATTTATTGTGCAAATACTGTTCTGTGTAACCACTCTACAGCAAATAACTCTTCCATACAGGTTAAACTCCACCACATCTATATGTCTCCTTCCTTTTTCTCTGCTTTTTAGGCCCTCTTTAAAATACCACCAAATTACAGCCTAAACAAGCATTCAAACAGGAGAGGAAATATGTGAGTTATGCCAGCTACATTCACATGCCAAGTGTTGTCACCATATCAAGCAGGGCTGAATGTGACAGAACTTGTATCATCTTGGAATATTCCCAGCAGCGCACATGACAGCAGACAACTGGGAACTGTGGGTGCAATCAGAGAGTTTTCCCTTTCCCCTTTGTATAAAGTTCTAACAAGAAACATGTCGTCATCCTTCTGCCTCTGCCACTGGATATGACATCCACAGCCACCGGCATTTGTGACATATGCTTAGAACAAGGCAAGGTCATATTGTCCTGCTCCAGATATGGGGTGAAGTCTTGGCTGCGGGCTTAATGGGTAGGAAGCCACTGTCTCTCTACTGAAGTAGATGATGAGATTCATATGAGAGTCTCCACTTTAATTCAGAGAGCTGCAAATGCACTTAAGACAGCAGAAGACCTTCCCCCCAAACCCAACACATGGATCTGGCTCTGCAAAGACACACAGAAGGCCTTAAGCCCTCTGCAGTCAGCAAGGGCAGTCACTTGGGTAAGAGGAGAAAGGCACAAGAGTGGACCTCCTCTTATTTTTCCTCCAACAAGTGCTGTTGACAAGCCACCAGGAGAACACTTACTTCACACAAACAGGTGATGGAATATTAAGGCAGTTGGTATATAATTTTCAATTAAATGTATTAATAAAAAGTAATAAAATGCAGATCTTTCTCTAACTAAAGAAATTAATTGTAGAAATCCATTACGTGCACACTACTAAGAAGGATATTTAGAACAGGCTTTCAAAAACAGTATTTCAAATTGTCTCCTAAGGGGCTGAAGTACCTCAGATTAATCATTCCTGTCAAGCTAAAAGTACAGCCTATGCCTAGAACCTATCACAGTAAGTTATATACTCCCAGCCCTCTACCACCTGTGGACCTAGATTATTTAGGTAAGTATATTGAGCCTCACTCCCATGCTGCAGGAATGGTTTACAGATCCCAGAAGGAAATAAAAATCTCCTACACAGGAATTTGCAGAGTCTATGCCATACAAGCTCTCTTTGCTGCTTTCAGACTTGAAGAGAAGAGCACACGGCTCTACAGGCCAGTCATGCAGAGAGCAATTGCTTTTGTGGATCAAGAACTACTGTGTAAGGTGTGCATTTCCCTTTACAGCTGCTAAGAAAAGCAACACTTAGAAGATGTACTAAAAAGCATTCACCACCTTCAGGTGTAAAGAGGGTTACAGCAGAGGAAAGCCAGCCCCAGCTCCAGCTTTACTGAGCCACCACCTTTCTGTGACCTGCCTTTGTGCACAACTTGAGTGAACTGAAGTTAATGTGGACTTATCACATTCAGCAGGTACACTTGGAAACTTAAAGCACATTCAGGTACCACTGCAAAGCACTTGAAATCATATTTTAGTCCACAGATCAAGAAAGACCGTTTTTTAGAAGTGCTACACCACCCCAAGTCCCAGGGAGATCAATATAAAGTGGAAACACTCAGTAGCTTGGGAATTACTGTTATTTATGTGCCTCCACCACCACGCCAAATAAAAAGATGCACCTACTCTGCAGGAGAGAAAACAGCCCTGAACAAAGGCTTTCTCCAGACATGAACTGGAGAAACCCCTCGAAATACTCCCCACACACATTATCCCCCAATATGGAAAATCAAATACTTGAGGCAGGTTTCAGCCACCACTAGGCATCATAGTGCAGTGTCTGGGTCAAGACCTGGACAGAATCCTCACTAACAGCAAGTGAGGACAAGCGGTCTTGCTGGTAAGAAATTCAGTTGACTTCTCCTGACATTATACATATTCCTCCCAGATCTGAAAGCAGCAGACCCTGACACTGATCTAGACATCATTGCTCAGTAACTGCATAAATGAAACTTTCCTATCTTTGCTGACATATGTCCTCTTCCGATAACCTGCCTGATGAAGAGATGGAAACCCAGAGATGAGCTAAGTAAGGACTGCAACTTACTGGCATGGGATTAATGTGGCACTCACTGTGCCTTCTCATGCCTGATAGTAAAGGATATGGAGAGCACTTTATGGGACCATACACTCTGCAAGCTATCAAGCCTGGCCCTGGTATAAGGTTCAACTGGACATACTGCATCCATATAAGGAAAGAAAATACACTCAAATCACATAGAAAATCAGGAGTCCCAGTCATGCCTTTAAAATCACAAAGCAAGCTTTCCCTCGCAGCACATACTCCCAATAAGGTAGCATATAGCAGACAACGTACCTTTTTTCTAATTCATAGAGAAGAATGTAAGAACAGTATGAATAGTGGTAAAAAGACTACATTTGCTTTGAGATGATAAAATATAGAACAAGACCCAGTAAAAAATACACAGCAGTAAAATGCACACTTTTGAAAGTTCAATAATATTTGGATGGTTTACAACTGAGTTGCTTCTAATGGCAGTGATGTTGCCCTTCATTAGATTTCAGAGCTGGTCACATTTGGCTTGTTGGTAGCTCCAGGTATACTGTCACAAAACCAAATCTATACATACACTGCTAAATATTTAGCCGATCACTAGAAAAGCCCTTCCTGTTCATTAGAAGCTTGACTTACTACAATTTTAACAGCTACTTCTGCAAGCAAACCATTTGAAGCACTTTTAACAGGTTTCTTACCACTGCCTCGTTCTTTGGAACAGACGGATTTAACATTGTGAGAAGGCTGCCTTGGATCCAGAAAAGAGACATGTGCCTGTGATCCTACTGCATACACTGACCACTCCTGACCATATGCCAAACAGACGTTCTCCCTGCAGTATGGCAACTTTGTGGAAAGTAACTGGAAACAGAAAAAATAAAATTCAACCTGTTATAAGAAAAGATGAAAATGTTAACAAAACAATTTTGTAAGCTATGTTCTAGTAAATTGCAGGGAAATAAAACACAAAATGCAGGTGAAAAATAAGAAGGGAAAAAACTTAAAGCAATAGGGTGCCTTACCTGAAACAAACTGAGACTATAAAGGCTGAAGCCAATAAAATGGATATTTTAATAAATTGTTTTAGATCCTTCTAAGGTGCTGCTATTTCTTTAGCAGGTGCACAGCAACATCAGCTCTCAGCTGAAAAAACCTATTGCATTCACTAGCATAGGCAAGCCAGGGTGTGATTTGCCATTACACTTAAATATGTGCAAGTTCCTTTATAAATTCTACTGATCAAGTATCCACCACACTCCACACAACAGTTCACTTCAGCTAACCCGAAACTAGCAGAAAGCTAAGAATGCTTCCTGTCTTCTCGATTAAGGGGAGCACAGAGCTTCTCTCCTCTTCAAGCTCCAAATTTCAGGACATTTCATTTTACACAGAACTTTTAAGTATTTTACAAACACTGCTGCTCTTCAAATATTTGAAGGGAATGAAGACTAGTGAACAGTCTTAACTGCTTCCAGTTTTTGAAGTTTAACTGCAACAAACAGAAAAGCACCTTTGATAGCGTGTGCTCTGCTTTCCAAAGATGAAAATACCCATCCAGGGACACAGCTCCCAACTCCTAATAGAAGGAAAATAAAAAGAAGAGTGTTAGTTTCTGTATTATAGATATCCTTACAAACTCACACTCTATTCGAGGCAGGATGCACAGTCTGGATTGAATTCATCCATAGTCCTTGTAAAGGCTCTATCAAGATAATTTTCATTTCATACTGATCTTCATAGAATGCTATACAGTACTTCAGGTGTCAAGTAGAATCTAAATTAACAAAAGAGTAAATAACAATAACTTTCAAAACTATAAATCTTGCTAGGCAAAAAATTAATGAATTATGAGAAAGTACAATATAGAAGTGACAATTCTCTTCAGCAGGTCCCACACTGATTCTAACCCTGAAGCAAGTTTCAGGCACTACTCTACTCTCTACTGAAAAAGTTACATGTTACATGCAGTTTCCATCATGGAGATGGAAACAACTAACAGCTGCTGTGAAAAATAAAGCCTACAGGATCACTGTGCTTCCAACAGCACACCCACCTTTGCTTCAGACCTTTGCTGTTCTTTGGTGGGTGGGGGGAGGCAGGGAATGGTGAAGGATGAATTGTTAATTGCTACACCCACTAGTAATAACAAGAGATCAGGATGGGGGAGAGTGATATTTACCAATTGTCAAATACCAACAAAATAACCCCAAAGCAAGCACTAGTGCCTGCCCTGTGAGTCAGTCACCTAATTTGCTGAGCAACCCAGAAAGGATTCAGCCATTGAAACAGGAACTGTTAAATGTTAGCTGGTCTTCACAGAACAAGAAGGAAAGAGCACTCAAAAATGGGATTCAAGCTGCAAGAGATGTGTTGCTGCTTTATCAGCTTCTTGTAAATATTTCTTTACTCTACTGCTTAGGATGCAAATCTAAAAATCAAACCCACAGGAAATCTGTGCGCCTTCTAAAATGTCTGCGATTGGGGTTTTTTTCCCTTCTAGACTTCTCCATTCACTTGGGGCAGAAGCAGACGTAGTAGATTAAAACCACTGCCTCAAAACACAAGGATGCAAAATAATCAGAGAAAAACATATTAACTTGCTTCTCTGGTATATTCTATTTAGCTTACTTTTTAGTTTTTCTAATACACAGGGACAGTATTAGCACTTCTCAACTGTCTTGCTTATCTTACTGACCTTGTTCTTATTGTTGAAAGCCAATGCTCGGACTTTGCAATTGTCAGGGTTGGTGTTCTCCTTAGGAATATCCTTCAGAGCACTGTGTGTTATGTGGGCATAGACAGGAACTTGAGAGAGATTATGCCTGGCATCACTTTTGGATAACACATCCTCTGTGACTTCCCAGAGACCCATCGAACCATCCCGGGAACCTGATCAAATAGTCCATACATGAGTAGTCCATTCCACATATACAGAACTCATATTTTCTAAAAAAAAAAAGATTAACCAATGGGGTCTGAAAAAAAGAATACTCTTAGTTTAATCTAACAGAACACGCTGTTAGTGCTCATATATTATTATTAAAAAAAGATTATTTTAATGAGCTGTAAAGTTCAGAATATTATGAACTCACTGTCAGCCGTCCATATGGTTTCCAAGCAGCTAGTCCGTCTCATATGTTTTCAAACTAATTAGGATGCATCGAAACCCAAAACCCTGTGCAACAGTTATCATCATCTCATGCACAGAATGAACTCGGAAGCAACTGAACACTATAGGTTCAGCCTGAGCCTGACACTCTCAGCCTTGGTAAAACAGTCCGTTAAACCGATGCAAAATATCTCCACAAAAACATCAGCTGGGTTTATGCTCATTTGGGTTTACTTGATTTCTGTCATTATGCTTATGGCTGAGTACACAATAATTCATGATCTAAACAGAAACATCTATTTCTAATCACAGTTGTACCACTTTGGATGAAATCTATCAGAAAAATTATTTCGCTAAAACCTGTGTCACTTTTTTCTTAAAGAATGTAACTTAGGTTAAACAGATGAGATTTCATTTTATTTTTCTACTGAATTTGAAGACATTAATCTAAAGTAAGAATCACTAGTGTTAAGAACACTGGAGGAAGAAAGCTGAACGCCTCTGTTTCATCGATCAATACAGACTTAATCCAAGACCTTATACACATCCCTTCTGGTGTTCAGGCAGCTCACTTCCATCTAAGTCAGCTCTGACAGATACTTCAATTTCTTCTCTACATAAAGTGAAAAATTCTGTCATATTGAAGATGCCAGAAAAGCTATATATCTATATAAAGCCATTAAATGTATCAGCTTTGTTATCACATAGGGGAAAAGCTACAAACACAATAAAGCAAAACATCTTGTTGCAATAGGAGTGGTCCAGTACAGCAGAGGTGACTTTGCCCCCTCACAGATGGATTCAGGCATCTGCCACTATCACCTACTAGAGAAAAATACAAAAGGGAGAATCCTAATGGCACTTGCATCCAGCAGCACAACATCCTGCCACTCCATTACATGCCATTGGTTTTAATTGCACCTAATCTTGTTTGTTGCGGAGGCTGAATACTCAGCAGTAAAATTTCTAAACATCCTGACATACTTTCAGAGGAAGTTGTCCCTTTTAATAGCCCTGGCAGGAGAAAAAGTCTGTGTATGTTGCTCAACTGGTTAGCCCTGAAGCCAAGCAGAGTATCATTTGCTACCCTAAGCTCATGCCATCCTGGGAATTATTCATCTCATCTGAACTTTTTGCCATAAAAATATATGCTATATCCTCAATGTCTGGAGTTCAAGTATTTCTGCTTGACAGATGTAATTGAAATCTCTAAAATTAAAACTATGTCTGAAGTTAGTTGTCTTTTTTCATTCTTAATTAGGGGCCTCAGTGAGTTCTAAAGAATTCAGTTTAGCAACCAGTCTTGCTAATTGCTTTTAATATGTTTTCCCTGGTGTCTGAGGTCTGGAAACTAGAACCTACATCCTGTCTGCTATAAGCACCAAAGTAGAGAATATGGCAGAAGAGAACACTTCTACTCCCACATCTACCCCTGACCTTTAGAAAATACCAAGCCAACACTGTTCTATCTCACATGCTGTGCCGTCTATCAGGCCCTTATCTTTCCCCTGGACATCTGTACTCTTTTGCGCTGTTCTCTTCAAACTTACTAGCTTGAATGTGAGGGAGTTTCTGTACATATTTGGGGCAGAGACCTGCAAGGATCAAATTTTATATTAAATTCAAAAATAAAATTCCAGGATTAGCTTTTTGGGTTTGGAGGAAAAATTCTACTAAACTAAACCAACAATTCAAATACGTGACTTTTACATAAGACTGTTATGATTTTCTCTCACCTGCAGTTTGACAACTCTTGAGTACAGAACAGTACACCCTCTCAGCACCGAAAGGCAGTAAACTGCTAAATTAATGCAACAAGACATTATTATTTTTGCCTTTACCTAAGTAATTCTTTATGAAGTTACACTGATTATCCAGCTAGTCACCAAAAAGTCATTAACTGAGTTTCTCTATTACAGCCTTCTGTACTGACTGCCATAGTGTAAGTGCATGTATACATATATGCATACAACTGTACTGAGAGCTTGACGAAACAATCTGAATTCTCATTAATTACTCTTTCACATGACTTCAGGAAACTGGTATTGATCTCAAATGTTCTGAAGTTATTAACCAATAACCAACACCTCTCTTGAAATTACTCTTCTTATGTGGAATCTTTTCCTGTAATAAATTGTGTTCAAACATCCCCTAACTAGAAACACAGTAATATTCTAATACTAGGAAAATCAGATCTAGACTAAGGCCCAAAAACAAAATAAAATGAAGACAGTACTAAGTCCAGGAAGTGTTTAAATAGCCTAGGTAGCTCCAAGTGGTTTCAAATGCCCTGACAGAGGTGCTTTCATAACACTTACCAAATGTTGTACATCACTAACATTCGGAGAGAAGGAAACCTTAAAAAACAAGCAAACAAACAAACAAACAAACAAACAAACAAAAAACTCAAGAGAAAAAAATATGACTTTACCAGAAACAGCCATAGTATCACTGATCCATGCAATTGAAAATATCCAGTCCTTGTGTCCATCCTAAAAGAAAAAACAGATTTTTCTGTGCCATTATACTCAAAAGCAGTCTCAAAGCAGACAAGTATTCTTTGATTTTTATTACAAGCTCAGAACGAGACCTACATTAAAAGCATACAGGTAAGATTCCATTATCAAGCTGGAACAGTTCAAGTACCTAGCAGTAATTTTAACTTCTCTGGTTTTGAAGTGTGCAATTAATAAAGAAAAAACAGGTGTTGGAAAAACAGGCCTCTGATCAAGGAAAAATTAATCTCAATTCTAAGATTTTCCAGAATTCTCATATCTTCCATTATGAAAGCAGCATTCTTCTGTAAAGTATCTATTTGGTAGGGGTTTTTTCTTCCAACACATATCCTGCTATAAAAAGTAACCAAATCTTATGTTTACAATACATGAACTACAGATTAATGTTTCAAGACTCTTTTCTTTAGCATGTGAGAAACCTATTGGGGGCAGGGAGAGGGGGGAGGGAGGGGGCGAAGGACCATAAGACTCTAGTTTTGTTAATAAAGCTAAAAGTCACACAAATGAAGAGCAAGTCATGCAAATCTTCAGTCAAGGCTTGCTGCAGCTGGTTATCTGCTGCTGCAGAAACTCTGACCTGACCTCTGCTGTTGCAGTTAATGTCTATATGAAATTCTGAATAAAAAGGAGAAATGAGAGAGGTGTTCACAAGACACCACTATATTCTCCAGGCTGTTTTTTTTAAAGACTGGCCATTTTAAAAAGACCTCAGGATGTTTCAGAAATAAAACCAGTACCAGTTTGTATCAAACTGCCACAAACCACGGGGTTAGAATTAGTCTTCAAAACAAAGTTCCACCTCTGGAATAATACATCCAGAAGCTGCACTAGGATAAGGAGAAAATTTTAACAACTTGCAACATAGTTTTAATTTCTCAAAAGAGCTTTTTCACTACAGTTTCAGATCTCATCACCACAATTAGACTTTAATACTTAGGATTTTGTTACATTTTTGGTGTTGAAAAGTAAGCTAAAGTAGACCTGAAGGAAGATGAGGAAGAAATCTCATCCAAAGCCCTGAAAATCCACTCACATGTTTGAGTACTCAATTCTATTTAAGATACCATAACAAAAATGACAGCTAAATCAGAAATGTTTTAATAACTTTACTTCCTTACAAGGTTCCTAAGTATTAACCTTGCTCTGATCAAACACACTTCAAAGTAGTAACTTTTTAAGTGAGAGAATAAACTTTCCCCAGACACTCCCACTTACATCTCCCACACAGACAGGATCAAGTGTAGGCAGACGATAAATTGCAAGACTGTTGGGGTTGTCTCCACCTGTGGCCAGGAGCGTCCTTGAGGGGTTGATCTCAATGGCATGAATGCCACATCCCTGCTGGTTCACCATGCCAGGTTCACGATCCTTCAGGATAGGAATCTTGGTAATTTGACCAGTCTGGACATCTACTACAAATAACTAGGGGAAAGAAAACCAGACATCTAAATCATCATCAAACAGAAAAGAAAAACAAGATGTTCAAATATCCTCTCTATTTTGAACTAACATTCTTTTTTGAGTTGAAATCCACAAATGCTTCAAGGATTGCTGGAAATGCATAAATTCCTTCTTAAAACAGGTTAAGTAACAATTACAGTGGGTTTATATCAATCATTCCATTTCATTTTCACAGTAATGGAAGGGAGAGGAGAGCAATCTGTCATGGGAGGTATCCCACTTGAATAAAAAGCCCTTGAATATAAAACTCTCTTCCCTGTTTAGCAAAATAATATTGTTTTTCAATTTCTACCTACCACAGTGAGAAAGAAAACCCACCTCAAAAGAGCCATTAAGCCCTATGGAGCTTAACGCGATTCTCTTGCCTCCCAGATAACACACTTGCCATAAAATTTTGGCTTTGGCAGACTGACAGTTTATGCAACTGGAATTTATTTTCTGTTGATACACAGAGAATAGTAACTAAGTACAGTGCGGACATCTGAAAGAAAGATATTTAGCGATATACCTCATCCCACAAAAAGACAAGAAATTAGAGCAATATGTCACTGACACCTTGTCAGAAAACTTTATTATAGAGCCTTACAACTCTTCAAACAGACATTATGCCCAGTGTTATGTAAGTTCAGACATATACAACCATGGGGTTACAGTTTAGGCCAGAGCAAAGGTTTACATTGCGTGCCAAAGTTCACTTTCATTTTGGGAGGCTCATGGGCTGGGTCACTTCACAGCTGGTGCTCAGAGGGCAGCTGCACTGTCAAATAGGTCTAACACAGGAGACAAAGCTCTGTGAGGGGACATGAGTGAAGCAAGGAAATGGAGGATCTGAGGCTGACTTAGCACTAGGCAAGTGATCTAGAATTCATAGCCCAGGATTATAATTAAATTCTACATTATCTTCAGTCTGTTCCTTCTATAAACAAGAATGTTGTCTCAAAACCTCTGGAAGTGAACCAAAGATGATAACTGTAACAACAAAAACCATCAATACAATTTTAAAATACACACCTCAAGGAAATTGTTCTGAAATCCTTTCTCAGACATTTGTAGAAGACCAGAAGAAAATTTAGAGGTTCTTAGAGAGAAGTTATACATACAAGCTGCTTTTGGTGAACTCTTACAGAGTTCTGTTCTTTAATAAAAGCATAGGAAAAATACATTAAAGTAATTTAGCAGCATATCTATTACTTGATGTACTGAACTAGCAGAATATTAACGTCCTATCAAAACTGATAAAGTATGGTATGTTACACACAGTCCACAGAAAAGATGAAATACACTCATTGTTATTTGTGTGTTACGTCTAGAATTATGCATCGTCTTCACCCTGCAACTGATTGTAGGCAGCAGTCTTGCACAGATTATTCCTACAGAGACTGCATTTTCATGTTTATTTTTTTATTTTGCACACACCTGTGGTGTATGGCAACTGCTGAGGTGTAGCTGAGTAGGAGGGAGGCACCCCTCACTCTTCCCAAGCCTTACAAAGCCTTTGCTGCCCCAGACAGCTGGTAAAAACACAATGCACACAGCAGTCTCTCTCACCACCTGAAAATTAACACCTGCATCGAATCAGGATCAGTCATTTCCTCTCCTCTCATCACCCCTTGTCCTGGCCATGTGAGCGCATATCCTCCTCACCCCCCAGTATTTCTTTCCAGCAGAATGCCCAATTCCCTCCCCTATCCTCCTTTAACTACTGAAAAAACCCAAAATCCTAAACAAAATTAACAGTTTAGTAGTTAGGATTAAAGCTTGCAGGTGTCAGCTGCAGGTCCTAATTTAACACCAGTAGTACTAATTAGGAAAACACATCCACACCTAAGGATGTTCACGCACTCAGAAGACTTGTGCTTCAGTTCTAACAGATTCACACTTGGAAGTGCAAGTCATCTGGTAGGAGGACTGAAATTAAAACCCTCTGCATTCTCTAGTCTGACACCCTCATCATACACCTGTGTTGGTTAATAAAAACTTACTCTAATACAAAATACTTTTACCTAAACTCTAAACTAATCGGACTAAAAAGATAAAGAACTTAAACTTTGCACATATAACGGACTGGCTACATTGTTTTGGTTGTAAAGGTCAGAGCAGTAACTTCTCCACTTGCTTGGGTAAGGAACTTAGCCACTGAGTAGTTTAAAAAAAACCCATCACCTCCCTTTGAGTACACACAGAAATTCTTACATCACCTGGGGCATAATAGGAAGCAAAAGCTCATAATTGAAACCTGCACCTCTGGCTGCCCAGAAATCATCCCTATAAATCCAGCACACAGAAGCCAAGATATGCCATAGCTAATAGACACTTTTAAAGCCAAAAAGGAAGAATGTTAAGAAACAAGAGAAGAACTCAGCTAAGGGTGCAGAAAATTTCAATGTTATTTCAGGAGTTTTAAAGACACCAGAGTAAGTAAAATACAAAATATTTTCAACTGTTGAAATAAGTACATCTGCAAACAACTTCAAAGCAGTGTAGACATTAAAAGTCTTGACGAAGTCCTGATAACTGAACCATACAGTAATTTTCTGTTATCTCAAACAGAAATAAGAATTTTTTCCCCGGCTACTCATTATATAAAAAGGAAAACCCATCCAACAACGTTTTTGCTGGACATAAAAAAACTTCACCAGCCTCCAAACACTGAATTGTGTGTATTTGTCTCTTGATTTTAAGCTTTGCACAAAATTCAGTTCTTCCTTCTAATAAAACATATGCATGTCAGTCTTTAGTATGCCAAACAACTTAACATCCAGGATTTACCAAATCTGGATTGCTTCAGCCATCTGGCAGAAGTGCAAGGACCACACTTCATCTGTGAGAAACACAGCAGACTCAGGTACCATGCTCTCTGCCAGACAACTGTGTTCTAACAAGGAAAACAGGCTGGATGACATGGAAGAGAGAAATCCATTTCCTCTCTTTTTTTTAAAGTAGTTTAGATGTACATCTTGCAACAGTGCTACCACTCAAGGATCAAGGCAGACAAGCATGGTTAGGTACTACAGCTGACATAGCCATGAAACTTCATGATCTTTGCACAGTTGCAGAGATTGATAGCTGTACACTTATTTTCCTTTTGGCCTGCAGAAGTGGTGAGAAGTAATTTTGGCAAATGGCTTCCCTGCAATTACTACATGGCTGTCCTCTTGGCTGTCCAACCTGCTTATGATCAAGTCAATCAAGAAACTACCTCGCTTCACTGATGAGGGAAGTTCATTACTCAGCTTGCCAAAAGTAAAACTGCAGCAGGGAACAGAGTATCCAAAGATGAATGAGAGTATGAACTGCAAAACCTATCATACCTCTTATATGCAACACTGAGAGCAGAATGGTTTACCACGTTTTTTCATAGCTTGGCCTGCCTTTCAGGACACAGTATTTTTGGGGGAAGAAACACCGAGAAAGCTAACAATCCAATAGAGATAAATTTCCTTCCCATATATCTTCAACTGAAAACATTAATTTTAAACAGTGAGATTAAAAAAGAGGTCTGTGAAATGCTATTTCAAGGCAGCACAGACTCATGTCTTCAGCTGCTGCCCCTGCACAAAAAACAACAGATGAACAGGCAGTCCTACCCTAACTTTTATTTGATTGTAAAAATCAATCAAAACCAAAATAAAGGATGCCATCCTGTTTTTACTACAAAAGCAGGATGGATGGCAATCTAAAAGACACAAATAACATGCATGAAAGAGACTACTCATTCTTCATGCAAGAGCTCACAACATGCTCGATGCACCAGCCCTTCACATGGTGCTCTCAGAAATCATGGGCACATTCTTATCATTCATAGTAACTTTTGAAAGAAACCCAGCGTAAGTACACTGCCGTGCTAAAAATAGTCACTAAGAGAGAATCACGTTAAGTTCCACAATGGCTTAAGCTTATCTTTTGAGAATCTACATGCCTCCTCTTCACCATCCACCTAAACAGTCTCATCACCCTTGTGACAACAACTAGTGCTCAAGTAGCTGCAAGGTCAACTGTATCTGCCTTGGTGAAACTAACCCTACAAGAAAACCTGTCTGCACACAAAGCAGCAAGCTGATCCAGGTGACTCCCTAACCACATGCACATCGGTGCTAGCCAAAACGAGCAGGTGGGAATATCCACTTTTACAACAGCATGACTCCAGACTAACTAAGGCTGGTCATAAAAAGATCTCACCTGCAGCCAATTTGGACAATTATTACTCATTCCCCTTTAAACATGTTTTTTGCTAACAAAACAACAAAAGAAGACAATGCTTGTTGTGCTATTACATCAATGCTATTTCTGGTCATACCTGAGTAGCAGTGATTGATTTTTCCAAATTCTCAGCCTTGACTTTTATTCAGATCATAAGTGTTTCTTTTCTGTTCATAAAACACTTGGCATCAGGCTCTTTTTTCTGTAGCAATACAGATTCACTAACATATGCCAAGCCTCAAAGAAACATGGACACTTTAAACTATCAAACTGGCATTGTATATCTGCTTTCTGCTGAAGATGGAAATAAAGAAGCATAGGTGGTTTGGATTAAAAGGTTGTCAAGTCCCAGCAGAAAGCAGGGACATTAGCTAGACCAGGTAGCTCAGAACTCTGACCAACCTCTCCTTGAATGTTTCCATAGACTGAGCACTCAGCAACCCATGCTGTTGTGTGGTTGTGTGGGCAACCCATGCTGGGGTGTCACTACCCTGATGGTAAAGCTTAAGAATCTTCTTTGTTTCTAGTGTGACTCTTTTAATTGAAAATTATTACCTCTTCTCCAGTCACTCCAAGCCCTGTTCAATTCATCTCTCCCCATCCTTTTTATAAGTTCCCTTTGGATACTGGAACGACTTGATAAAGTCTTCTCAGAGCCTCCTCTCCTCCAGGCTGAACAACCAAAACTCTCTCAGCCTTTCCTTGTAGGAGAGGTGTTCCAGCCCTACAACCATCTTGGTAGTCTGCTCTCTGGGCTGACTCCAGCAGGTCCCTGTCCCTCCCGTGCTGGGAGCCCAGGGCTGGATGCAGGGCTCCAGGTGGGTCTCAGCAGAGCAGAGCAGAGGGGCAGAATCCCCTCCCTCCCCTGCTGCCCACGGGGCTCTGGATGCAGCCCAGGACACGTTTGGCTCTCTGGGCTGTGAGTGCCATGGCCGGGCCATGTGCAGCCTCTCACCCACAGCACCCCCAAGCCCTTCTGGGCAGGGCTGCTCTGGGTCTGCTCATGCCCAGCCTGGGCTGGTACTGGGGGCTGCCCTGACCCTGGTGCAGCACCAGCACTTGGCCTTGAGCTTCATGATTCTTGCATGGACCCACTCCTCAATCTTGTCTCTGGATGGCATCCCATTGTTCAGGTGTGTCAAAGCACCACTCAGCTTGGTGCTGTCATCAAACCTGCTGAGTGCACTGGATCCCTCTATCTATGCCATTAATGAAGACATTAAAGAACACCGGTCCCAGTATGGATCCGTGAAGGACTCCACTTGTCACTGATGTCCACTGGGACTCTGAGACATTGACTCTCATTGACTCTCTGGATTTGATTATCCAACCAACTTTCTGGATGTAGCCAACCAATGCCTCACCACCCAACAGTCCGTCCATCAACTCCATCTCCCTCCAGTTTAGACAGAAGGATATTGTGGGGGACCCTGTCAAAAGCTGTACAGAAGTCCAGACAAATGACATCTGTAACATTTTCCTTGTCCACTCCTGCTGTCACTGCATCACAGAAAGCCTCTGGTTTGTCAGGTAGGACTTACCCTTGGTGAAGCCACGCTGGTTGCCTCAATTCACCTCCCTGGCCTCCATGTGCCTTAGCAGAGTTTCTAGAAGGAAACTAGATCCCATGATCTTCCCAGGCAGAGGGGAAGCTGACAGGTCAGTAGTCCCTGGAGTCCTTCTTTCTGCCACTTCTCAAGATGGATACAATGGCTTCCCTTTTCCAGTCACCTGGGACTTCATCTACCTGCTATGACTTTTCAAACATCACAGGGAATGGCAACTACATCAGCCACGCTAACATGCACTAATCTTAGCACAAAACTTACTAACAGGTTATGCAGTAGAGGCAACTCACGTGCGTAATGGCCTTACACATCCTTCTTCAAAGGGTCCAAAGCAAAACAATCCACAATATAAAGAAACTACCTGAGAAGTGAGGAGAGGTAAAAGCAGCCAGCAAGTTGGTTGCCTTTGAATACACATTTTCACAGACAAGGCCCTGAAATCAGGCACTTCACTTTTCTGTGAAACTCTGAAGCACTACCAGCTAATGGTCACAGACTTTGATGTTACTGCATTTGTGTAGTGCCAAAATCACATTTATAACTTTTTATTTGCATTTGGCCCTCCGTGTTTAATTTCAGGGGATTGAGAGACAATTAATACATGCTGACAGATGGTAAAGAAAGCATGGAGAAGTGACAGACATCGTCTGCTAAAGGGAATCCTTACAACTCACACCATACCTGGAACAGAAACTACCAGACAGACACAAGTCTGCAGTAGTTGATCACATGCAGTTGACAGAAAAGCAAATACTCTTGAGACAAGAAACCAACACCTGGCTATTTGGTCACAAGCCACTGAAAGATATGTGAATGGAGATATCAACTACACGCCTCAGAGGTTTATTTACACTGAGTTTCAGTCACTATTCACTGGACTTTGAGTAGAGCTACAAACTGGAGGAGACTTCTCATTTCCTACATGTGATCAGAAATGAGCTGTCACCTCGATGCTTCCTCACATATGCAAAGCCAGAAGACACATTAACTCACAGACAGTTCACATTCACAGAGGAGGAACTTCCCATTGTACTCTCACCACAATCACAGGACGACAAGACTGGGTTGTAACTGTATGAGACACACAAACAGACACAGGATCTCTTGAAACAAGTTTAAAGTCTCTAATAGGAAATGAGAGCTGGTGATTTACAGCAGGGCAGCTATGGCAACATAGCAATCTGCTGAAGAGAGAAAAGGTTTCAGCCAGCATTCAGAAACCAACCCATGCATGCTTTGGAAAAGCTGCCTGAGAAATCAGGAGAGCATTGAGAAAGTTTAAATACAAATACATCTATAGGGCTTGACTGGAAAAAGAAAAAAAAAAAATCAAACTAGATTCCAAGCAAATATATTCTCAAGCATCTGGAAACTAATTAGCTTCTTGTATTTACAGCTCTTATAGTTTTTCATCTTTAACTCTGCAATTAGTGAAAAGATTATAACTTGAACATGTACATGTAAATAAGAGAGGAAAAGAAGCTGAAAAACTATTACTGAAACTACTTTTTAGATGCTACCTTATTCTTCATAATTTCCTGAAATAGTAAAGAGAAAAAAAAACCCCTAAAAACACAGGAACCTTGTGTTCTATGTTTTTGTCTGCCATAAGCCTATCTCCTACCTAAATCTCATGAGTTTCTCTATGAAGCCTGAACAGAAGACCGCAGATTACAGACCGTATCTTCTTCTGAGACATTTTCTTCTATGTATCTTCACAGCACCAGTCTTTGGTAATTCAGATACCTTTCAGAACACACCCTAAACGTCTGCACCCCTCAGAAGTTCCCTGATTATTCATTTGAATTGGAAAAACATGAAGAAGGCCATTGCATGCAAGGTCAAGGAAATTCTTGCAAACAGGAATCCCGGCTCTGCAAAGCCCAGGTGAAAAGTCTGGGTAGTTCAATTTGAAATTTTAGGTGCTTGAATGCTTGCAAAGTTCCCATAATTCTAAATCTACCAGAAAAAGGACATACCTTTACAGAACACAAATATCTGAAAAAAAATTGATTTACAGTTGCTCGACTGTGAGCACCATAATCCACTGGAGAAGAATAAAGTTATTTCACATCCTGGAAGAGTTTTAAGGATAAAAGGTTACTCCACAAAATTGAACAAATTATAATCTTCATCAAAAAAAAATTGACAGAGAACTCCATATTCTCTTTAGCATTTTTGTAGTAACTAGTACTGCCAAGTGACAAAACCCAAACTTCCTCCTCTATAACAAGAGTGTATTTTTTGTTTTGTCCTTAAGAACAGTGAATTGTCCTGGCACTGCAAGGTGATGGGTAATTTATAAATTAAATGCTGAAAGCACTCAGTGCCACAGTCAAGCCTTGATTAAAATAACTGCTATAGTTTATATTTTTCTCTTGAATTTAATTAAGGGCAACTCCAATGCAGCAAACCTCATTGAAGTCAACCAAGGTGTTTTCAATTTACTCCCAACTTGAATACCACAACTTCAGCATATGAGAATCAGCAAAGGCATTTTTCTTTAATAGATCACTCACTCAGGACATAAGAGAGAAAAATCTCATAATTAGAGTATAGAGTTTAACACTTTACTGGTTCAAATGTGAGCACAAAGCAAACAAGGTACAGCTATTACATCATAATAGATCATAAGATCATAATAAGATCATAATTCATATATGAACTTTCACAATGCTGCAGGGACTTTTTTTGCAATGACTCTATTTTGCTCCGTGACAGAGGTCTGTCTCTAACGTTAAGTCTGGCTGTGGACAAACACCTTTGGCTGCAGCTTGTGCAAAGGTAACAATAATACTAGTGAATCCCTCTTCAGCTTCGTGATTGTTTGTTCCAAACAATTTTTTGCAAGGTTGCGTTAACACCCACTTGCCCATTTATCTTCACTGCAAATGCGCCCGACCTACAAAAGTTACAGAACACAGCAAAATCATTGCAACTCTATAAAACACACAGTCATCTTGCAAGAGTAAGCAAAATTTCTGGGAGCTTATGTTTCAGCAGGAGTTCATCTCCCATAAGCAGCTCTACAACTACAAACAGTGCTGGCTGAGGAGATGAACGTATGTGGAGAAAGTAGGCAGACAGATTCTATTTTGAGCTTACTGCTGTTAAAAGATTGCTTTGTTTATACAATTTGGCCCTGCTTCTTAAGAGCTACTGCATAAAATCCTCACTCTGTGCAACTGTGAATAATGATACTCAGAATGTTTCATCAGAAATGAAAAAAAACAGCCCACTGACCCTTGCTGGTCAGACCACTGAGCAGGGCTTTGGCACAGAAAGATCTTGAGGCAAATAAGCAATTGCAGCAATTGATACGCTCTGAGATTTAAGAACTGCTACATCTATGCATTCATTCCTTCTAACCCTTTTGCACTAATTCAATCAGAACTCCTTGCATGAAATTGAAACCTCAGCCAATGAACTTGGGCTACTAACTCTGGTGGTGAATATTACCTATGAAATATGATCTCCAATTACTAATCCCACAGGACACCATTTTAATATTCCCCTGAAATGTTTCAAAGCATCATTTCAAGAACCTGAGAAGGTCTTAGTTTTTGTAGAAGCATGTAAAGACATATAAACCAGAGAAGCTATTCAAACACTGGAAACAGTTTTAGAGTGAAGAATAATAAAGTCAACAAGCAACACTGACGATCTGAATTTTTTTTTTTTTAACTCAGAACATTTCTGGATGCTCTGACAAATATCTAAGAGTTTAACCACAGTTTTAGAACAATTTTTAAAAGCCATCAGCACAGAACCATATGTAAAACCAAACTATGTAAGACTGAGCGTAACAGAAAAAAGGAATTTTAGCAGCAAGTTTGGCCAAGCACTGACAGCCACCATTCTGTCCATTAGCTCTCATCTGCAAGACAAAAGGGAAGATCCAATCCCACTGTAGCTCTTCGTCCTGAAACCAGGTGTAAATCGCTGTGTAAGATCACACAGACACTTCCTGGGGTGCCTCATATTCAGATGTGAACAGATCGTCCTTCAAAGTCAATTGGTACGATTTTGACTCCACTCCTAATTCCTAATGTTTTCCCTGGCCATCCACACACTTTGATTACGATAAGCATAATTTAAGGGTGGAGGTGGAATAATTAACAGAGGACCAGGAAACAGCGAGAGGTGGCACTCACCGTGTTGCATTTTGTCCCGCACACCACTTGTCGGTGATTTAGCCACTGGGAGGCAAACACTTTATTGAGTGTTCCGAGGTGAAATTCTCTCTCCTTCAGGAGGGTGGGGAGCTGCTGGGCTGCGTATCCATGCAACAAGCGGTGGTAGCTGGACTCATTCTGCATCCGGACCTCTCTCCCTTTCACGTAGTATACTAGAGACCTTTTCACCGGCGGGAGCCTTTTCCTTTTGTGAACAGAGTGATCCCACCCGTACTGTGGATAATAAAATTAGACACTGGATAAACTAAACCAAACTTTAAGACACCACCCTTTCATATTCAGCGATATTCCCGGCAAAACCCTGAAGCCTTGCAAACCACCCATGGAACACCGCGCACGGAAATTAACTCGGGAATGCTGACAGAGACTTTAGCAGCGTGAAATTAAATATAAATATCTGCTAAAAGAGTAACACGGCAATAATATAACGCCAGTCCATGCCAGTTCGGCACCGCTGGTACGCCAGATGCTCACGGGAAGAAGCGGAGCGCTTGGACCGGGACAGAGGCAGCGCAGACAGCCCTCGCCCTCAGCTTGGCAGGCGTAGGGGTGACACCCAGGAGGCTCCCCGACACGGACCGCGGCGCTCGGCCTCCTCCGGCCGGCCCAGAGCCACCCAGCCATCACCGCCTCTCGGCAGCGAGCGGCGAACAACGGCCGCACAACCGGGCACCGCGAGCCCGGGCGCGGGCACAAAGGGGGCTGACCCGGGACCAGGGGCTCCTCTGCGCCGGTGACCCTGGCACCTGGGGGCTGCCCCTCTTGGGGTGACACCAGGACCGTGGCTGCCCCTCCCCAGGATCCCCAATCCCCCAGGACACCTTCCTTCTTCATCCCCCGGACAGGGTCACCCCCTTCCTCCCGGGGACCAGCACGTCCGCCGCGCCCCGGGAACCAGCGCTTCTCCCCCGCTCCCACCACCGGGAACCAGCGCTTCTCCCTCTTCCCACCACCGGGAACCAGCGCTTCTCCCCCGCTCCCACCACCGGGAACCAGCGCTTCTCCCTCTTCCCACCACCGGGAACCAGCGCTTCTTCCCTGTTCCCACCACAAGGAACCAGCGCTTCTCCGCTGTTCCCAGCACCGGGAACCAACGCTTCTCCCCCGTTCCCACCACCGGGAACCAGCGCTTCTCCCTCTTCCCACCACCGGGAACCAGCGCTTCTCCCCTGTCCCCCAACTCATCCCTTACCTGCTCCCCCTGGAGTCCTCCGGTCCCGGCGGCGGCAGCCGCCGCCGCTTTCCGCTTCCTGCTAACTGTTTTCCGGGCCATAGTAGAAGGATGAGGAGGATGTGGACGAGGAGAGGCCCCTCATGGAGCGGGACGGGGCGGTTCGGGGCATATGGAGCGGGACCGGCCCCAGGCTCTGTCCCTCAGGCCCCGCCGGCCGCGCCTCACGGCATTTTACAACACCACGGGGTTTCAGGCTTTTTTTCCTCTTTTTACGACAGTCGAATCTCTGCTTTGCGGCGGCTGTTCCGCCCCGCCCGGGTGCCCTGTTGCCTAGCGACCAGATCGCAAACGGGCCGCGCCCCCTCTGCCGTTGCCATGGCAGCGGAGCCAGCGTGGAGAGGGTGTGGCGTCCCCTAGCGGCGGGGCGGGCTCCGTACAAAGTGGGGGCTCGGGAATCCCTCGCAGGAAACGGAGATTTTCCCAAACCTTTCGTGTTTGATGAGACTGTCAGCGGCCCGGGAAAGCCGAGACACTTGTCCCCGACCAGTCTGTCAGAGTTCCACTATGGGGACAGAATCAGAGAATCAATTAGGTTGGAAAAGACCTCCAAACTCACCCAGTTCAACCTATGAGTGAAGACCACCCTGTCAACCAGACCATGGCACTGAATGCCATGTCCACTCTTTCCCTAAAGATCTCCTTTAGGTCACTCTTTCACCTCCCTGAGCAGCTCATTCCCAAAGTCTAATTGCCCATTCTGTGAAGAAATTCTTCCTAATGCCCAACTCCTCACTGAATAGTCCACTGGATCAGAAGGTGGTTCAGCTGACTTTTCAGGGTCACATGGAAACACAAAAGCCCCTTTGAGGGTTTCTACACCTTTAGCTAGTCTCTTGGCACTCCAGGAAAGATTCAGGAATGCACACCAAAAGCATTAGAGAGACCCTCTCCCAGGGCTGCACACTCAAGTATTTTATCCACTGTTAATGCTCTTGGAAGGACTCGCACCTTGAAGAACAGTTTACAGAACAGTTATCCTTTATTAATGTAACAGAAAACTGTGACAGGTTAGGGTGCAAAGATTGGTGGTGATAGAATCTGGCTGCAAAAACGTATTCAGAGCAATCAAGATAAACAACCAACATAGATAGAGTACAGTTCTGACAGATTCAGTCTGATCAGTCGGTTGATCCCAGAAGTTACAGTGGAACAGTCCCTAACTTCTCCCCATCTTTAACTTACTTTTATACTATTTTTGCACTAGTTACTCTATTTTTACTAAAGTAACTCTAGTTATGCACCCTGTCCAGTGTGGGGTGGTTGTACCTTGGAGATGGGTAATGTCAGTGCACACCTGAGGCAGCCTCTGGGATGGAGGTGGGCATTTGTGATCTCGCCACAGTAGCTGGTTCAGCAGCAAGGCATCTCCTTTTCCCCCTTGTTTTTCAGCTGCTATAGAGTTTATCTGCACCACTGAGCTCCCCCTCTTGCCAGGATTTCAACAGAGCCTGGCCCTGGTGTCTTCACTCCGCTCCACCCCTCCCTTCAGTCCTCTTTAGCATGGATTGTGTGGGGGAAGTTGGGCGTGCTGACCACATCCCATCCAGGGAGTTGTAACTGTGCTTCAACCTCTGTTTTCTGTACCGTTATAACTTCTGTTAGAATGTGAATGCAACTCCCCGGTTTTCCCTAATGTTACCCCCAGTCATTTTCCTGTTGCAATGTATTTGCAAGGGCTAAGCCATAGTGTGCACCAGCCAGCCTGCTCCTACGGTTGTTATCAAATCCTCAGGAATTCATCAAGGCTACTGAAACAGAAACTGCACTAAATTAAAAAAGAAGAGGCTGAGAAACCAAATACCAAGACCACAAGAACTAGATAACAGAGGACTGTGAAACACCTGGACTGTAACCAATCACATACACTGACAAGTGCAGGCAGAAAATGAGTGAACAACACAAAGTCACCAGTCAAGAAGCATGTACTTAGTAGTTTGTAGAATCTATAAATATGTGTGCAACGTAAACAATAAACAGCTTCTGTTTAATCATATTGGTTAGTTGTCCAGGAGTCCTGAATTTTCCACATTTTCCAACACATTCTGCCTAGGAAATCACTAACTGCTGGGAAATTAAAGACATAACACTATATTTGCATTTCATTACACACCTTTGAGATCCATGTGGAAGGACAAGTGCTTTTCCTGATGCCCACATGGCTCACACACTCTTTTTTCTGTGATTTCAGAGGCAAAGCTTCATATGATCCAAACCCAGAAATCACTACTTGCCAGTAGTATTCCTGAGTAAAGAAACATGGAAAACATTTGATATGCAGAATGGCTTTAAGAAAAAGTCAGCTTCTGACAACTGGATATCTGATGGTGCCTCAGGTCACATCGAATCAGTACACATTGTCCTGATACAACACTGGTTTTATTACTTTATTCAGTGTTTTCATCCAACCAACCCCAAAGACAAGGGTGCTGTGAAAAGCCAAACTGAAAAAGAAACTATAAAAGAACCTCTCAGGCTTTCCAGTTTCCTCTGAGGATACAAGCAGTAATTCCAGTTTAGCCGTTTTCGGTCATGATTTGCCATGATTAATTCTTCTCGCCATATTCACCCTCACATACACAACTACCACACCCATTTTGGACAAAACCCCTCCATTTCCAAGTACTGCTTAAAAGGCTGAAAACCCAGCGGGAATGTCCCCTGAGCCCCCCGGAAGGGTGATGCAGCCGTGGCTGCGGAGAGAAGGGGCTGAAGGGTGTGGGAGGAAAGGGCCTCTCTGTGTCCCACCTCCATCCAGCCCCTTGGGGAGCCCTGGCACGATGCACAGCTGGGAGAGGGGCAGGAGGCGCTGGAGTAACTCCCGGGCAGGGCAGGAGCTGGGAACAGAGCAGGGACTGGAGCAGCTAAAGGGACAGTGACAGAGACACGGATGGCACAGGGAACGGGACAGGTAAAAGGATAGGGAAAGGGGCAGGAGCAGCAACGGGAGCAACGGGAGGGAGGGGACAGGACAGGGGCAGGGACAGGGGCTGGGACAGCGATGGAACAGGACAGAGTGAGGGATGCAACACGGACAGCGCGTGGTAAGGAGAAGGAACAGGGGCAGGGATGGGACACGGACAGCATCAGCGGCTGGCAAAGGCAGGTGACACTGACAGGGACACGGCGGACACACGGAAACACGGACACGCGGATACACCGACTCACGGACTCACGGACACACTGACACACAGACACACCGACACACCGACAAACGGACACATCGACACACGAAAACACAGACAAACCGACACACGAACACACGGACACACCGACGCACGAACACACGGACACACCGACGCACGAACACACGGACACACCGACACACGAACACACGGACACACCGACGCGCGAACACACGGACACACCGACACACGAACACACGGACACACCGACGCGCGAACACACGGACACACCGACACTCTAACACACGGACACACCGACACACGAACACACGGACACACCGACACACTAACACACGGACACACCGACACACTAACACACGGACACACCGACACACGAACACACGGACACACCGACACGCGAACACACGGACACACCGACACACTAACACACGGACACACCGACACGCGAACACACGGACACACCGACACACTAACACACGGACACACCGACACACTAACACACGGACACACCGACACGCGAACACACGGACACACCGACACACGAACACACGGACACACCGACACACGAACACACGGACACACCGACACACTAACACACGGACACACCGACACACTAACACACGGACACACCGACACACGAACACACGGACACACCGACACACTAACACACGGACACACCGACACGCGAACACACAGACACACCGACGCACCGACGCTCCCGGCCCCGCCCCCGAGAGAGGCGTGGCTCTGCATCTGCCCCGCCCCTCTCTATTGCGGTGACGTCACCACTCGCCGCTCCCGATTGGTCCGGCGGGCGCATGTGACGTCACATCGTGACGCCATCCCGCCGGCGGGGCCCAGACAAGATGGCGTCGCCCGGGTCCGGCGGCGCCGAGCGGGGCCAGTAGGGACGGCGGGCGGTGACCGCGGGACGGGCGACAGCGGGGCCGAGGGCCGCAGGTACTGGGCTAGACTGGGGGGATGCAGGTACTGCGTGGGGCAGCGAGGCTGGGGCTCCGCAGGTACGGGTGGGGACCGCAGGGGCCGCAGGTTACTGGGCGGGGGCTGTTGCGGACGGACCGCGCCCCTTCTTCTTCTCCGGGGACAGGGACGCTCTGCTCCCGCTCTGTGGAGCCGCTGTGAGGGGCCGGCGCTCGGCCCTGGCTGGACTCGCGGAGCAAGGCGAGATGACGCTCCTGTCCCACAGCCTCCTGCTTTCCAGCAGTTTCCGGGACTGCCGGAGTTACGGGAATGTCTTTCTGCCTCGTAACCCTTGATGTGTTTGCCCTTGATGAGTTTGATTGGTGGCTGTTGAAATCCGAGTAAGCTGCTGCTGTCCGTGATATTCGGAAGTGCTTCACCAAATTCGTGAAGAACCGAAACAAACATCTGATGTTCTTTGGGTGTGTGGTGTGTATTGAGTCTGCCTCCAGGTAACTAGTTCATTTCTCTCTCTTGTGCTGTGCAAATCGCGGTACTCATCTTCCCTATGACTACTATTTCCCTTGTGACTACTTGTGCGTTCTGCTAAATCACGGAGTATTCACTCTTTTGCTGCATCTCCTTGTAAGCTGAAGATCCAGTCATGTTTGTTTAGTGTGTTGTAGCCCTACACTTCTCTTTTTATGCTTATCACCAATTTCGCGATCTTTTCTAGTTAGCTGTTTTGTTTTTGACTACGTTTTTCTCGGCATTTGAGATGCAGACATCCCAGGGATTTATACATTGTTGTAAGAATATTTCTGTTTAGTTGTTTTAATTTCCTGATGTTGCTTTGTGATCCCTACCAGTGCTTACTAGAAGTAAGACATTCAGTGCGTTTATTTATTTTTATTTAGAATAATTCAAGAGCTGTCTTCCTGTGTTTTGATAGCTCAGAATTTATTGTACTAAAGGGAAGGTTAGGTTTGTTCTTGTGGTTTTTTTTTTAATTAGTAAAAGATATGACAATAGATGGAAATTAATATCTGCCTTACTAACTGATTTTATTCCCCAATCAATAAAAAAGTCAAACAAGTGAAAAAAAAAAGCTTGTCATATAGAAATGTTACAACACTGATGTTTTCTCATCAGAGTGGAGATAAGCAGATGGACTCTGGCACTTGGCTGTGGAACTAATTTAGCTGCTATCTTGGACCCAGTAAAATGTATTCCTATTGGATTTAAGCAGTTTGAATTCCTACATGACTCACTTTGGCAAGTGAGTGTTGCCAAACTAAGGGGCAGTTGGGTTGTGCTTCATGATGTAACTTCAGCGGGTATGCTGCTGATGGAAGGCTTGCTGCATCCCACAGCCTGTTAAGGGACTAAGAGGAGTCCCATGTGGGAGCTTGGTGAGGGGGATCTTATTTCTACTCCAGCTGAGATCCAGGGTGTTGAGGAAAAAGAGGAAGTGCTGCAGTTAGCCAGACCTCTCCATCGCCTTCTCTTATCAGCCTTGGAGTATGGGACCTTCTGCCCCTGTGCAGGCAGTCCTGCAACGGCTGGTTTCCTAGCATTTTTCAGGCAAGAGTGCGGAAAACCTGTTTTGGCCTCATTCCCTTTTCTCCGTGGGGAAAAACTGTAGCAAGCATAGGCAGTAGGGTCGGCTGAGGTGCTGCCTGTGGTAGCAGCACGAGGAGCGTTTTGAGGTGTTTGCGGGGTGGTGTTGGGTTACAGCACCACGAAGAGCTGCTGCTCAATGACTTCAGTTTCCTGTACGCACAGAGCTGCAATTCAGAAGTGCCAGTGGTTCTTAACATTACCGTTGCCACTGGGTGGCTTAAACCTTTTAGGCAAAAACCATAATTCTAAGGGCAGGGAAACAAAAAAGTATGTAATTTTTAATCAGCTTTTGCAAGTTTGTAGGTTTAGTCTCAGGAAAAAATCTCAGAGTGATGGTCCTTTCCTTGCCTCACCACCTGTACTTGGCCTGCATTTGATACCTCTTTTTTCTTTTTTTTTTTTTTTCTCCTGTGCATGCATGCCCTGTGACACAAAGGAGTCAGGGAAGAAGTTGCTGCTACTAAAGTGCTATTCAAGTGTGAGCTGAAACAAATGGACATGAAACTTTAAAGAGAAAACCAAAAAACTCTCAGATTTAATGTATGTGACTCAATGTGTTAGTTTCTCTTTAATGAAGAGTACATAAATTTTCAGAGTATTGAAAGAGTATACTGGTCAGCTGGGAGATTTCCTGTATAGTTTATGATGATGGATTGAAAAATCATAATGGTGAAAATTCATCAAAAACATATGGAAGAGCTCCATCTCCAGTATTCACATGATGTTTTGTTATCCTCGAGACAAAAGCCTGTAACTGACAGAATGGAGTCAGGTTTCTGGACCAATCCAGCCTCATCTGTCACACTGTGACAGCCGGAGCTGTTTTGGTTGGTGCTGGTGGTGGAAGTACTGTAATGACACAAAAGGTGTCGCCTTACTCATCCTCCTTTTTAATTTGTGTAAGCTTATGGTTTCCTGTTGCATTCACAAACCCTAGGGATTGATAAGTTCATTTAGTTTATTGATAATCGTTGTTGTCCATATCCAGTCTCCATATCATGAGTTTTTAAGAGCAGTCCGTTTCCGTATTTTACAGTTGGTGCTGGGTTGAATATTTTGATAAATAGATCTGCAAGAAATTTAGTTTTCCTTATTACATAGAACTTCTTTCCAACGTTCTCTGGTGTTTTGTGTAGCATAATCACTCCCAGTCTCTTCCATCATGAATTCCAGAGTTTCAGCTGTCGTTTTACAAGGATCTCTACCTAAAGGCATGATTCTCTATTTAAAAATGATCAGTGCAATTCAGATCAATGTCAGTGTAAGGAAAATCTAGTGAAGCCATAACTGGAAAGCTCTGAAGCTGTTTGTGAAAACAGTTCTTTGAAGGAAAGGCAAAGAAGGGTTGTTTACAATTTATAAATAGTGTTCTTGTTTGAAAAAGTAGGTCTTCTAGGATGCATCAAAGATTGGTTTCTCATCCCTGCATTTTGTACGCTTATGCTGTTAACTGGGAAGGCAAGGCTGTTGGTTTTGCAGCACATACAACTCTGCAATCGATCCTTGGGATTAGTGCAGTTGATCGATACAAGCCTGAGCTCACAGTTGTTGTGTGTTAACTACTTAGGTAGGTAATCCTCTCTGGTATGCAAGTGCGTTGCTTAATGCTTTGACCCTCTGACTTGGTTTGAATAAGCTCATGTTCTGTGTCCCTAATGACCTCTTGCAGTCAGTGTAGTCTTGTGCTGAGATCTCCATCAGAACCTGAGCACTGGGGGCTTTCCCTCTGTCAGGTCTTTAGATTTATTAAAAATCCTTCCGTGCAAACACTTTTTTTCTTAAATGTTGAGAAATGCTGTCTTTCCTGTGGATGGAAACTTTTAAAGGACAGAAGGCTCAGGTTCGGTTTGGTTTGTATTTTTTTAATTTTTGAAAGCTACAAGGTCTTTCCAGAATCTCTTAAGCTTGCAATGTACTTGAAACAGAGTATACAGAATTATATCAAAAGGGGAACACAATGTCATTGCTCTAATTTAGACTTAAATCTTTCCTTCTAGAAGGAAAACAGATTGGTTCAAAGCACCATGCTGCATTAGTAGTATTATAGTTTGTAGCTGACTGAGTTTGTATTATCTCAGCTGCATTTTGTGTCAGAAACTCTTACACGAGAGAAATATTTTAAATCAGAAGAAAGGGAGTCCTATCCAAGATGTAGTCAGTGCTTCATCTGGAGGATGAGCTGCATATGAGTACTATTAATGTATATTATTTAGCTGTTGATGGTTGGTGTAGGGGAAAATAGTAGTAAAGAGCTGTGAGCTTTTGTCTGGTCTGTGTTACTGGAGCTAAGTATTTCTGGTAACAATCTACTAGATTATGTGAAAGATTTCTTTTTTAAGCCCCTTCCTTACATATATGTTTGTGCTTGCACCATTTGTCATCTCTAGGCTAGCAGCAGAGGAAGCCGTGACTGAAATGACTGATGAGATTTATTCCCTGGTTTTGGGAAGGTGTGTTTCAAAGGTATGCCTGTTACCAGTGTGCTGTGTCATGTTTTAGCCCTGTGCCTAATTCAGACACAGGGAAGCGCTTGTGTGTTCAATTTGGTATACCTCATCAATTATGGGCGCTAAAATAAAACTAGTTTCCTAGTTTATTAACACTCTCCGAAGTAGTTGTTTAAACTTTTAAGTATTTCCTTCTGTGATACAGCAAAGTCACTCTGGGTTCCACCCTAATGACTAATACCATCATGTGTTGTCCTTGCATAGTACTGTGGCATAATTTGACATAGAAATATAGAAGGCACATGTAGCAGGGAAGGGAATCTTGAATAAAATCACTATTAATCATCTGGAATAAAACTGTGTTTGATGAAAAAGGCCAGGAAAGCTTTATGCTGCATAGCCTCCAAGAAAAGAATGTGTTCTTAATCTTTTAATTAAGTATTATGTCACTACAAGCAGTGTTGACAGTCTGTTTGACTTCTTGTTAGAAAACAGGCGAAGGATTGTTGAGTTTCATTTTGCTTGCTGTGTTTGTAACAATATACAAAAAAACCTGTTTCCAGCAAGTACCTTTATATTCCTTATTAAGAAGAGGAGATAAAAAAAAAAAGTACCTGTGTTTAGAGGCTTCATTCTTGCTTGTGGGAGGGAACTTACCTGGAAGTAAGTGCTTAGTAATTTAATGTCTCTTTTGCAAAGAAAATCCAAGAAAAGACAGTAAGATGGCTTGTTGCTTTTAACTAACACTGTTGATTATTTCTGAACTTGTATGCGAAGGGAGAGCTATCACATTCAAGCATGAATATCAAAGTAATGCTGTTATGGTCTATAATCTCATCTATATGAAGGTCTTCAGTTGGAAAAGGCTTAGTAAATATACCTTAAAGAAACCACAGTTTCATCCATAAGATGAAAAATAAATGAAGGAAGGCAAAGGTGAAGAAATTGGTTTTGGCATGAATGGTGAGG